TTTCTTGGGGTAGTCTTTGGGTAAATAGACCGACCAGGGCTTTAGACTGAGTATTCAGCCCAATAACAAGGCCATTATGAAAACGCTTAACTATTAACATTATATTATTAACTTCTTTCTTTTTCCTTTGAGGCCCATGCTGGCACTCCCTCACTTAGAATCCAATGTTCACAAATGGGACACCATTGTTTTTCACTTTAGCACTTCCCCTGACATCCTCAAAAAAAATCCTTTTCTTTGATAAGCTGTCCACAGCTGAAAATAGATGTTTTTGATTGATCATTCATATATGTACCATTAAACTTGTAAATATTTATTCCTGTAAAAGTTAAACAAACTTGTGCAATATAAATGAAATAATATAAATTAATGAAAAATGTGCGGTTATTCTTCCGTCATTTTAGTTGTTCTGGTTCCCTAATGGAAATCTTAATCCTAACACCAAATAACACATTAAACTTTGCGCAAAGAGAAGGCGGAGCCATACTTCAATAAGGGCAGAGAAAATAAAGTGAGCAACGCTCTCAACCATTAAAATTAAGAACAATCATTTTTGCCATGGCTAATTTTACTATCAGTTTACGTCGCAAGAACATTTCCATTTCTTTCTATAATGCGGGGGAAGTCAGAGGCCGCCACCAAGAAGCGGACCCAAGCTTTGGCTAACCGGCTTTAGACTACATGTGTATAATTATTTAAAAGGAAAAAGGAAAAAAAAATATTAAAAAATATAAATTTCTATACCTATGTTTGATCATCTCTTCAACAGGATTGATGTGATCTGCTACATTTGAATTGGGATTGTTTTTTCTTGATATTGTATTTAAAATTCCTTAATTGTTTTTCATCTGCTCCATGTGGGTGGGGGACTTTGCTCTGACTGTCTTTACTAATCACTTTCTGAGCTTTGTCCGAAATCCGTTTACGTGTGTCATCAGGCTTTGTATGTTTTGGAGGTCCTGGATTGCTTTCAATATCTCCAGAAATAATCAACAACACACGTATGCATGTGGTTACACAAAATGTTAATTTCCATTTTGATCCTACCTGCACTGTGAACACATTAATACGATAAATTGACTTCTTTGGTTGCCAGAAACATCTAATGAATATTCTCCACTGCTGAATGTTAATTCCCATGGTCACTTATGCAAGTCCTACAAGTTTTAAATTTTTCAAACGTACACAAATAAAACCCGCCATTTTGCAAGTTACAGGTTATTTATGAAAGAATTTTTTAATCTTATGATTTTAGGATATGGGATCTCAGTCCCTCTAAATGGTCCATCATTATTTGCAACACATCTAACAGGAACAAAATTTGTATGTCAGACATAATATAATTACCAATGTTAAGGTGTTGAACAGGTACGACTATATTTTACATAATTTTTGTCTTTTTACTTAACAGATAACTGGTTTAAAACAAGTTAATGAGGCTCTTGTTTTGCTGCTTTACTGTGAAGCAAAATACTTGAAATATGCATATTTTGTGTGCAATTTTTTACTGCACTTCATACCATATCTTATAAGTTAATAACAGACAGCTATTGCCAAGGGCTTTTGAATCCTCAGACTTATGTGGGTCTTGCCAGTCCTTGCACTGTTCATTTGTGTCTCAAAGCTATATTGACAAATACCTTGACTGATCATTGTTTACCCTTCAGCATTTACTTTAACAAATTGGAAACAGTGCAATACTACCGTAAATGATATATGGTAAAGAAAATACTATAAAACAATGTGATACTAATAGTAGAAAGTCTTGTTCATAACTAAGAAAACATTCATGTATATGATTTTAGATTCATTTCAATTGTTGTTTTTTTCCTTTTTATGCATAAACAAACTTCAAAGGAACCTTTTGACTCTCCATGACATTTTTTTTTTAAATTCCATTATTTTTACATGCTAATCCCCTCAATCAAGATTCCATAATCTTTGTATCAATAAAATAGAGAGAAAAAGGAATTCCTACAGAAAGTCCAAAACAGCAAAATTGAAAATGTTGAAGAATTGGTTTGATTGTGTATAAGAAATCATTGAAAATCTTCTAATATAACTTACTTGAAATAATTCTCAAATAACTGTCTGCAAAGATTGTCATGGAACAAAGCCCTTCCAGTTTCATATGTATTTATGTCGATTTTTTTTTAACTCTGGTGAGCGATGCAAGGTCATCATGGCCCTCTTGTTATAAATCATAGTAATCTTGTTACATGGACCTCTTAATTTAAATAGTCAGTAGTAATTCATGACAAAAGGTTAGCAAATAAAGAGTGTAGCAGGGTTGTCAGTACTGGTTCAAATATCTAGAACTTAACTAGGTTAGATAGAGTGAATCTCCATGACTATTGAAAAAATAGGACAGAAATAATAATTAAGGAGAGCGATTTAAAATGATCTGTTATCTGTTGCACACATTGTTTATTATTTCATATGCATGTATCTTCTGTATTTTTAGTCATTTGTCATTTTTATAGATAATCTGGTGCTTTTTATTGTAAAACTAATTTGTTAATGTACATTTATATATATATATTTTGTGATACATTCATGTTGAGTTTAATTTTGATGGAGGTTTTATTTGTAACATTGGTTGATGTTAATAAAAAAATACATTTTAAAATTGTGTGTCTTGTGTTTTCCATTCCTCCAGTACATACTTCAGTCAGCTCACAGTATGACTAAACCAACATCTTAATTTTAGCATCAGTTAGAGAGAAATATTTAAACGTAAAGCTGGGCTAATTCAACAGAACAATAATATTTCCTTTTTAGCTGGGGCATATATGGCTTCAAACCACTTTCCCCTTGCCGTTTTGGGTTTGAATCCCTACACAAACTTGGATTCTTTCATCTGCTAGCTTACAGAACTTCAGTGGTTCTACTCAGATGCCCGTTTGTGCCAGAAATAATGCACAGGTCTTCCTACACCAGTAAAGCTGGAACGTCGCCGTATGACCTATACTGTGTCAGTGCAATATAAAACCCAATCAAATAAACATACAAACATTGTATATAAAAAATAAAGTGGCTGTTCTACTCACTGTTGTATGTAAGCGTCACCATTACACTTTGATTCAAGTTTTATGTGCAACTTCATATCTAATTAACCACTGAAGCTATTCACTTGAACGGCCACCTGGTCACAACTCCAGTATAGATTTTGACTATATTATAGTCGTTTGTGAATTTAAAAATTCCTGTTAAGTTTTGTGTTGAAAATCACGTCTCCAATGTTACTTAGTGTATTCACTTGAACCTTTACATATATCTTTAGTCACTTTCCAAGGTCTACAAGTCTCTCATAAACTTTTATTGGATTATTGCCATTTTTATATGCCCGAAAGAATTTCGGGCATAATTGTTCTACCCCTTGGCGTATTATTGGCGCAATATTCAAACTTCATAGGATGATTGTCCATATTGGGTAGAAGACCACTTTTGATTTTGGAGTCACAAGGTCAAAGTTCAAGGTCACTATTATCTTAAAACTGAAAACAGTTTACAGAGCATAACTTAAGTTCCATTTGGCCCACAATATTTAAACTTCATAGAATGGTTGTCCATATGAGGGTAGAAGATCCCTATTGATTTTGGTGTCACAAGTTCAGTATTTATCCTTACAACTGAAAACAATTTCCGCTCAATAACTTAAGTATTAATCAACCTACAGCTGTAAAATTTTATAGGATGAACAGCCATGTCCAATTCATGACCACTATTGATTTTAGGGCCATAAGGTCAAACGTCAGGGTCACAATGATCTTTACACTGAAAATTGTGGTTTCTGGAGCATAACTTCAGTTCCATTTGGCCCACACTGTGTTCAAACTTCATAGGATGATTGTCAATATGGACTAGAAGACCCCTAGTAATTTTTTAGTCACAAGGTCACTATTACCTTAAATCTGAAAACCGTTTTTGCTCAATAACTAAGTACACGTAATAATCAACCTACAGCTGTAAAATTTTATAGGATGAACAGCCATGTCCAATACATGACCCCTATTGATTTTAGGATCAAAGGTCAGGGTCAGAATGACCTTTACACTGAAAATTGTGGTTTCTGGAGCGTAACTTCGGTTTCATTTGGCTTACAGTGTTCAAACTTCATAGGATGATTGCCTATATTTAATAAAAGATCTATATTGGGGTCACAAGGTCAATATCAAATGACCTTAATATTGTTAATGATTTTTTACAACTGTCAAACTTCATAGGATGATCACTTATATCGAGGACATTAATTATATGCCCTGAAAAATTTGCTTATAATATGTTATACCCCTGGCGTCTTTCCGTCCATCTGTCGTAGCAGTTTTACTTACAAGATAACAACTTGATGGTGGTGCTTTGGAAACAGCAACTGTATATATATGAATGTTCTTCAGCTATAAAGGGAGGTTTGCTTTTTGAAGGAGGTAATACATTATTTAATTCCCATGTCTTACAAATGCTCATCCTTACTAAAAACAACACTTTCGGGCATATAATGCTCTGCCTAGTGGTGCTCTAGTTATATTAAAGTGACATCATGTCCATCTCAGAGTAAATGGCTAGTTTTCAGGTAAAATTCAAAATAACTTTACAGTTAACTATGTCATCCTTGTTTTCATAATAAACGTCCCCTTAATAGTAATAACCACTGTGACCAGCATAATTTTCTATCAAAAATCGGTAATATTCAATCTATAAAGCAGTGGGGCAGTCTTTTTATCAGACTGTTGTTATAATAATTTCATCCAAAATATTTGTCATTATCAATCATTGTTCAATCGCCATTGTAACAGTCAATCTTTTGAAATATACAACTACTTTGTCTCAACTCATCAGTGATGAAATGAGCATGTCACTTTAATAGATTATTTAAAAATTAAATTTCTTAAGTACGGTAGATTTTTATGGTATTCACTGACATGACATTGTATTCTTCAAACACAGACCAAGCATCAACTATTAAATATGTAAATAAGCAGGTTACAATAAAAACCAAATTGTGTGTTTCGATTTTATTTATTTATAAAACATAGCATGACAATGTCCACAGAACACATATTTAACTTCAATAGTCATAAGATCAGTTAAAGTGATATAACAATGTCAAACTTTTTTTTGACCGATGCCTAGTAATTATTGCAAAAATGCTTCTATTTAGGCTAAGAAAGCATTAAGATATCCAGTTTGTGAAAAGTTTACATTTCTGGGATGCGTTTTATGTCAGTATCTATAGAATTTCACCATATACCATTTTTTTTATCACATGCTATTCATATCAAAGGCCAAATCATTCAAAAATTTTAAAAAAGTTTTAACTGTTCATTTTCAAAATAACATTGCTCACTGACTACATTCTTGATGATGTTAGGACAAATTTTATACAAACCCTTAACCGGCTGAAATTGAGTAATGGTTTTGATTTGATTTGAATATGGAAAAGTCCATTCAATACTTAAAGGATTTCAATATCAAAATACAAAAAATTCAAGAGCTGTCAGGACAGTATAGTGCTTGAAAGTTAAACAAGTCTGGATAATGTTCTTTTTTATTCAAGTTTATTAAGTTCAAAAAGGGCCATAATTCTATCAAAACCAAGTAAGAGTTATGGGCCTTGGATAATGACCTTCTAGTATGCTCTCAGAAAAGTGTGTGAGGTCTTCAGTAGTTTTAGAGTACAGAACCTAACCCAAAGTGTGACACTGACACTAATGCCTTGGTATGTACAATAGTTCTCTCTATTCACCAAATAATCAAGCCAAAAATTGAGTTACCAACACTGACAGTATAAAACCTGGTCAGTCTGCAACGATATGCAGGTTGGTCTGGCTTTATACTGGTGGCAAAGGCTTATCACTTTCAGTTCCAGCAGTTTAAGGGTTGAACATATACATTCAAAATTTATCTCATGAATTTCAATTAATACATACAATAATAAAGCTTCTTAAATTTTCAAGGAGAGAAAATAAAAGAATCTTGTAATCAGTAATCTTTCATTGTGATTTGATGAATCATTTGTCTTAACTATCTTTCTTACCATTTAGAGTTATTTGAAAGAATTAATCCCCATTAAAGAGATTATACATTTTTCAAATCACATTGATTTAAATATAGCCATTTTAGAAATTTACATTTTTTTCCAAAGGATGAGCTTAAGCCTTGTGAATGTCAAGGTAGGAAAACTTTTAAACTTTATTCAACCCCTACTGCAAACTTTGTATATTTTACCTCAAGACAAGTGCATTTTTCAGTCTTACATCTCTCACGGGAATTCATATAACCTTCAACCAGAGACACATAGTTACATAATAATTTTACTGTTTCGGGAATAATTCTAATATCCAATGAAATGTTCAAACTTTCATAAACCACAACTTTTAACATATGATTGAATTTAAAAAATGATGATAACAGTGTCACATTATACTATCTATTTTATCAACAATAAACCAGTCTTAAAGCAAGATGTTTGTTATATTTTGTCTTATCTGATGAAACCAGAGTGTTTTCAGACTAAAAAAGTTATTAACCAGTCTGATGTGTTATTTATAAACCAGTCCAGTTACACAAATTTAGTTAAACCAGTCTGCATTATCAGTCATACACCAGTCTAAAGTTTCTTTCTTGGTCTTTCCTCTGACTTTCCATCTGCTTACTGATATCTTCCACTCTTCTGTTCAATAATGCTGGGGAAAAAAAGAAATAATTAATAAAACAAACTGGAATTAACATCTTTTTTAATTACATTTTCTCAACCTGCCACAATATTTATTCATAAACTTGAATAGAAATGGCCAGCTATGAGTAACATATTGACATTAATATAATGAGAAAATGACTTGTATTCTACTGTTTTGTTTTACTAAAAACATACTAGGATAAATAGTGACAGTTTGCACTTGTTACAATTTTAACAACATAACCTGTGTTGCCATTATTAAAAGGACTCCACTGAGGTTTAAAATACTTGTATACCATTTGATGTTGGTCCATCTTAAAAACTTATGTGCATTTGCTTAATAATCGTAAGTATGGTGCAAAACAAACAACAAACAGTTTTAAACTAAACTCTGACTGAGAATTGCGCAAAACTCGATTCTGAGTTTCATTTTGAGTATATTCCTTTAACATCTTTTGCATATTTTTTATATTGATTTATTTAAATTTTTAGGTTTTGTTCGGCTTCTGTACTTCAGTGGTGTTCCTTTTACAGATGAGACATTTTGAGAACATATGCTGGAAGTCATAATTTAATTTACCTGAATTGGTATCTATCCATTGTAAGGAATCCATATGAGCATTAAGAATCTTTGTAATCTGTAAGATCTGAAATTATAAAATATATATGATAATTTTACCTGCTTTAAAACCTTATAATTCTAAGACAACAATATATTGCTTTTAAAAAATAAGAAGAAAAGTTCTTTGCGCGTAACTTCCTATTATTATTTTTTTAATCGGGTTTAGATCACACCAACACAGTATTGGTAAAAAACAATGGCAACTTTCCAGCTTTACTGGAGGAGACAGACCTCAGATGCCCTTCAAAGCATTATTTCAGGGACGAACAGGCACCCGAGTACAATCACTGACATTGTGTAAACTTTCATATCAACAAACAATTTAACACACATTATTTTAAGTATAAGTGAACATTTTAAAAGGAACATTAGCTTTGTTAAAAGCAACCTAGACCTATTTACTACATTAAAGAAATTGTTATTATGGTTCACGATAAAGATGGATTTGATGCCCCATTCAACCGAACAGGACAATCAGTTGGAATTAACAACTTTTCAGTCTGCAGTAAACATTTTTTCTGTTTTGAAGTTTATTTGCTCTTCACGGCTAGCAGATTGTGTAACAACCTTTGCCACAACTGTTTCTAATTTGAAAACTTAAATATCTATATACCAATGAAAAGCAGCAAACTTGAACTAGCTTTTTGACTTCCCAAATTAGCAATACAAGTGATAAATCTTCCCAAAAATCGAAAGACTAATGCCTCTTCCCAATTCAGTGATGGTAATCTTGTCAGTTGTCAGACTGCATGTAAGTATAGATAGGTCAATTTTTATAGTCGTTGCACTGACTTGTCTTTTTCACAATAAGTGCTTAATAGATATACAATCATAAGGTAAGGGCTATACAATATGTTATGATTATACTTACAGGGTCATTATTATCCTGGGAGCTACTGGATGTGTTTAGATGATCAATAATCTCCTTCAAGTCTCGTACCATTCTCTTCAGCTGTGCATCAATATTGTCCGCTAATTGATATCTATGTAGAAGGAAAAAAAAGAACAAATGTAATTAAAATACTGATTATAATTCGTTTTCGGTGGGTAATATGACACACAAAACAGTTATGGTCATATTAGGTTTTCTCCGTGAAGCTCAAAGTGCCCCTGAACATGTATCATTTTAAGAACACATTTGTATAGAACCAACAACCGTATGAAAGTCATCTAAATATAACAATGGGTTAACAATGGGTTACCTGCAGATGTTGTAGCAGGGGCTCCTATAAATATGACAAATTTCAACATCAGTTGCAGGATTCAATCCTACATAAATCTGTCCGTGAACTTCAACATAAGGCCAATGAGGCCCTTCAAATTATTGTACATTTTGTATTTTTAATATCTCATTTAGGTAGTCAATAAATTAACAATTGACCAACGTTTTCTCGTTCTATATAGAAAGTGATAAGGCGAGAGGATTTTGTTGTTCCTCGTCACAATAATATTTTAATATCTAGTCTTCATCAGATAAACTGAGCTGAAAAAAAGCTTGTACCTTATTTGAACCACCTTAAATTATGATACCTGAAATTAACCAGTATTGGTGCCATACATCAAAACATGATTGGGACCTCACTAGGACTCAAATCAGTTGAATGTACAATCTTTGGGTTCAGAAGCAGACACCCTATGCACTAGTCCATCTCTCTTTTTTTACAAAATTATGAAGAATGTACAAAGTGTTCCCTTTAAGGATATTACTGACCTGTTTTCACATGCTAGAACTATATTAATCCATCAAAAACTTAAAATTTTTAACATTGTATTTCATAGAAATCTGGATAAATATCTGTAAATAACTAACGTGTTTTCTCGTTCCAGATCAGCATGGGGTTGTAAGCTTATACTTGGTAACTGTTCTAATGACTTCTCTAGTGGACACAATAGGTCTTCTAACTCTTTCTGCTGGGTTTTAATATAGTCCAATTCTTGTTCTAACTTGTTCTGGTCTACTTTCACCCTCTCCATATCCCCATTTAACTGAGTGATCTAAATTATCAGAAAAATAAATTTTTACCATATAAGTTTTAACACATTTATTTTTAGCTAGATTGTAATGAAAACTGAAAGCTTACTTAAACCATTCTCAAGTCTGCTTCCTTGAATTAACCATTACTACTGTCATATGAGGTAACATGGTTGTGACCCCTGTAAAGGTATTGGGCCTACAATTACTTGGTTGAGTGACAGATACCTTAACCAGTAGACCATCACTTTTCATAATTATGAGCATGTACATGCTTTCAAAGACAAAAATGTTTCTAAGAAAACTGCATCCCAAACATGAAATCAGAGAAGTTGAAAGAAACGATTAATTATAATTTTACGCTTGGTTTTCACGCAGATTTGAACACATTATTTTGGTCATATCTCAGCTTTCCAAGATAACTAACCAGTAATCATCAAATTTCCCTGCAAATGAATTACTACTAACCCTTAATGAACAAGCAATTATCATAGTATTGCAAGCAATCCATAAGTCCCCTACCGGTTAGAACCCCAGCAACATTCTGAAGGGCCATTGGCCATTCACTTATGTTTCTATTTTAAGTAAATTTGTTGGAAAAGTTCTTTAAAAGTGATCACAGGAAACAGTTTTTATGTACAGACAGACAGACGGACTGAAGGACACTCTAAAGTTATTTTTTAAACATCCCTGTTATCAAAATATAACATTGAAATAAAGATGCAAGATGTCATACATGATGTGAGTGTAACAAAGAACAATTAGTAATGAAGGTATGAATAATTCATGTTTTTTTTTAATTTGAAGTAAATAAAAGTTAAAAGAACAAATAAGAAAAATTAAAAGTTTAAGGAGGAGATAATTCTGGAAATATGGATGCTAGATTTATAAACCTTGTTATATTATTATGATGTGGAAGTTTGAAGAAAATCCTATCATGATTGAAGAAGTTGGAGTAAAATTACCAATTTCTCGAAAAAAAAGTCTAAGTTCAAAAGAGGCATAATTCTGGAAATAGTCTTGCTAGAGTATTGAACTTTCTCACAAATGTTGAGTGATAATAAGAAACATATATATGAAGTTTGAAGTAGATACATTCAGAAAAAAAGAAGTAATTAAAAAAAACAATATTTTTTTCATGAAAATTTTAAGTTCAAGGGAGGTAATTCTGATACATTTTGTGCTAGAGTTGTAAACCTTGTCACATATGATGTGGTTGATGACTAGCAACTTATATTTAAAGTTTGAAGAAAATACCTTAAGAAATAAAGAACCTATAGTGAAAAAACTTAAAAACTAGAATCAGAAATCTTGAAATTCTTTCTATTTGTTGCCATAGCAACCAGAATTTTCAGCATAAGAAAAAAAGAAAAAGACGTGCATAATCTCCATACTGCCATCTATCAAGTTTCATAAAAATATTTTCAGTACTTTTTGCATTATCGCGGGATCCAGGTTATGTGTAAAATTTGCCATATTTTCAGTCTATTTGTTGCCATAGAGGGAAAATCAATGACCCCCCGGGGCGGGGCCAATTTTGACCCCAGGGCTTTTATTTGAACAAACTTGGTAGACACCCATTAGAACATGTTTCATGCTAAATATCTTAGCTCTAGCTCTTTGGGTTCTTTAAAAGAAGATTTATTAAGTTTTTACTATATGCATATAGGGAAAATCAATGACCCCCCGGGGCGGGGCCAATTTTGACCCCAGGGCTTTTATTTGAACAAACTTGGTAGACACTTACTAGAAGATGTTTCATGCCAAATATCTAAGCTCTAGCTCTTATGGTTTTTTTAAAAGAAGATATTTAAAGTTTTTTCTTTCGGTTGCCATGGCAACCAGAGTTCTGCATGGAATTTAATTCTTTGAACAATTTTTAAAGGTGACCACCAAAGGAACATTCCTGTGAAGTTTGGATGAAATTGGCTTAGTGGTTTATGAGGAGATGTCATTTAAAGTAAAAGTTTACAGACGGACGACGGACGGACGACGGACGGACGACGGACGAAAAGCGATCACAAAAGCTCACCCTGTCACTTTGTGACAGGTGAGCTAAAAATAGCTTTTTTGTTTTTGTTCTTTATTTAACTACGGAATGAAGCTCATAAATATCAAATGTTTGCTCGGACAGACAGACGGACGGACGGACAGAGGGTAAACCTAAAGTCCCCTCCGGTAAACCGGTAGGGGACTAATTAAAAGGAAAATGGCCATTTGACACAATGTCTGAGATCAATAGTCATTAAGACATACCTTCTCGTCTGAGGATTGATCAAGAAACCACTGGATTACATATCTTGGGCTTTGTCTTTGAGCTAATTGGGCGGACTCCTGAACTTATAGGAACATGGAAGTCATTATTGCAGCAAGCAAGCATTTTACAATATTTAAGTCTTACCTTTTCCCCATTATCTACTAAAAGTCTGTCCCAGGCATTAACCTGGGTAGCTTGCTGTAGGAACAGTCTTTCCTGCTCATCTAATTCTGTCATCCATTTATTTATCTGATCTTCTAGCTGTCGATAGTTCATCTGTAAACTAGGAACAGCTGGCTTTGCAGTACTGCAAATGAAGAAATAACAATTGTACTTAGTTACAAATGCGATGGACTGTTTTTACTTGCAGTTGTGGGAACAATGTCAATATCTATTTTTTACTAGGGGTATCACACATTGACATGACACAAAAAAAGTTATGAAATTATGCTCAAGCTTAACTTACTTTGCAACACTAAGTTGACTGTGGCAAAAATTTACAAAAACAGTATCAATCTGTATAGACTCAAACCAACAATTCCTGGGTTGCGAGGCAGACAAGATATACTTCATCTATCAATAGCTTGTATAAATAATGCTAATTTTTACATTTTATAATTCATTTATTAAGCAAACCCAGCATACAAGATGTTTTTGTTGCTTTTTTGTTACAAATTAGAAAAGAAAAAAATTATTCTCATCAGCTAATAAATAAATGGATTATCTTGATGGTGCACATATATACACTGTTTGTAATATAAAGATAGTATACCCAGCTGTGGCACCAAGTCCAAACCCTCCAGCTGTCGAAGTTGTTGATGTGCCAAGACCGAACCCTGAGGTTGCTGAAGTTGTTGTAGCAGTCGCTCCAAACCCGAACCCTCCAGCAGAAGCTGTTGTAGTTGCAGATGCTGGGACACCAAGCTTTAAACCTGCACCTCCTAGTGTTAGTCCCCCACCACCTAAAGTGAGACCTATTTAGAAAAGATAATGGAATGACAACTTTCAAAAATTGAAAAACTTGAGAAGATTATGCATTATACGTCTTTGATAGTAAGAGTTGAAAAGGGATTTTTTTACTTTACTTAAAACTTAACTGAAATACCACACTATTCCAATATCTACCATAAAACACATTAAACATTTGTAAAAGATTTCCTAAGCAGAGGATAAGACTTTGCAAAGAAAACAACAAAATAAAACCCAACTATCAGTTTCAATTATTATCAGCTTTTTTACAAGGCACCCTATCATGGGACTAAACATTGGTCCAATGGTCAAAGATAATTTCATCCTCACCTGTGACATAAAAACAATACCAGTCATAAATATTTAATGAAAAAAAAAATATCAATGTAAGAGTATGGCTATCTAAAATACAAAGTTGCCAAATGTCCAGTTTTATATAACAAAACTGGTACATGACTGTATACATACCACTCGATGTTGTTGCTGTGGTGGCCTGTGTGCCAACTTTTAATCCAAACCCTGATGTTGTTGTTGTAGCTTGAACACTACCTAAAATATTCATTTTTATGGAAAATGCTTACTTGACTTAGTAACAATTACTTACAGAATTTTAGTTAAAGTAGTTAAATGTGTAACAAGTGTACAAATATTTTGTACCAGTACCTTCAATTTTTTTTATTTTTAGAAATTATGGACTTATTTAACTACATGAAAATCACAGCTGATGGGTTAGGACAAATTGCATTAAAATTATTATGGTCATATTTAGTGCCTTTTCTATGGACTATAATTCAAGGGACAGGACATGAAGTGGTTCAAGCGAGAAAATTGTTTGCAAACTTGACAAAATGGCTACAGTCATGAATATTTACAACACTCGCAGGTATTCTCTTTAGGTCAGTGGGTTTGTATGTTATTTTGGAAAAAAAATATGACTATTCCTTAAGGTAATGTTTATGTCACACTCTGTTTTAGGTTTAAGCTTCCTAGCTTCTAATTTGAAATGCATAATTAAGATCAAATTATCTATCAGAATTATTTTTTTTTAGAAATCTTAGAAATTAATCTTTGAATTTCAAAAACACCTGTCCTAGAATTGAATGCATGCCATTGTGACTTACCAAGAGTGAAACCAGATGCTGGGGCACTAGAAGTAGCAGATGTGGCAGCTTGTGTAGTACCAAGTAACCCTGTTAACAATGGGTTACCTGCAGATGTTGTAGCAGGGGCTCCTATAAAACCATAAATATATATAAGGCACTAAAGCAATTAACAAACATCTCACCTATATAAAAATGATCTAGATATAAGACATTTGTCTTGCTTGGTAATTAACCCTATTGTAAGTAAGGCATGAGTTCAGTAAACTTGGCAAAAACTATTATAACATTAGAATTAAATTGTTTTTTGTTGTTGTTTTTTTTTTGGCAACTAAGATTTTAAACAATATTACACCCCTCTCTCCATAATATATGTTTGCCCACTACATTAGGGTATTTGGAAAAATGAAACAAGAACATATTCCAATGGTTAATGTCTTTTCAAGGCTTATCAACAGTTTGGCAGGTGTATGCAATAAACAACAACTCATATAATTTTTGGCCGCTTATTACAACTGACTACCTGTGTGTTACTGCAATTTGTCTCTAAGTACTGTAAACCACGTATTAGGGCTAATAACTTTTAATTTTTGGGGTACATTTCAAGTCTATTCTATTTCAAACAAGAGGGCCATGATGGCCCTGAGGTCGCTCACCTGTATATAGCCCTATAGCCCACCCCCCCCCGGGCCAATTTTTACCCAAGGGCTTTTATTTGTTTATTTGAACAGACTTGGTAGACACCCATAAGAAGATGTTTCATGCTAAACATCTAAGTTCTAGCTCATTGAGTTTTTTAAAAGAAGATTTTTTAAGTTTTTACTATACACATTTAGTTAAAAACAATGACACCCCTGGGGCAGGGCCAGTTTTCACCCCCGGACTTTTATTTGAACAAACTTTGTAGATATTTACTTAAAAATGTTTCATGCTTAATATCTAAACTCTAGCTATTTGGGTTTTTTCAAAGAAGATTTTTAAGTTTTTGCTATACATATATAAGGAAAATCAATGACCCCCGGGGCTGGCCAGTTTTGACCCCAGGGCTTTTATTTGAACATACTTGGTAGACACCCATTAGAACATGTTTCATGCTAAATATCTTAGCTCTAGCTCTTTGGGTTCTTTAAAAGTAGATTTTTTAAGTTTTTACTATATGCATATAGGGAAAATCAATGACCCCCTGGGGCGGGCCAATTTTGACCCCAGGGCTTTTATTTGAACAAACTTGGTAGACATTCATTAGAAGATGTTTCATGCTTAATATATAAGCTCTAGCTCTTACGGTTCTTTAAAAGAAGATTTTTTAAGTTTTTACTATATGCATATAGGGAAAATCAATGACCCCCTGGGGCGGGCCAATTTTGACTCCAGGGCTTTTATTTGAACAAACTTGGTAGACACTCACTAGAAGATGTTTCATGCTAAATATCTTAGCTCTAGCTCTTTGGGTTCTGTAAAAGAAGATTTTTTAAGTTTTTACTATATGCATATAGGGAAAATCTATGACCCCCTGGGGCAGGGCCAATTTTGACCCCAGGGCTTTTATTTGAACAAACTTGGTAGACATTCACTAGAAGATGTTTCATGCCAAATATCTAAGCTCTAGCTGTTACAGTTCTTTAAAAGAAGATTTTTTAAGTTTTTACTATATGCATATAGGGAAAATCAATGACCCCCCGGGGCGGGGCCAATTTTGACCCCAGGGCTTTTATTTGAACAAACTTAGTAGACACTCACTAGAAGATGTTTCAGGCCAAATATCTTAGCTCTAGCTCTTTGAGTTCTTTAAAAGAAGATTTTTTAAGTTTTTACTATATGCATATAGGGAAAATCTATGACCCCCTGGGGCGGGGCCAATTTTGACCCCAGGGCTTTTATTTGAACAAACTTGGTAGACACTCATCAGAAGATGTTTCATGCAAAATATCTAAGCTCTAGCTCTTAGGGTTGTTTAAAAGAAGATATTTAAAGATTTTTCTTTCGGTTGCCATGGCAACCAGAGTTCTGCATGGAATTAAATTCTTTGAACAATTTTTAAAGGTGACCACCAAAGGAACATTCCTGTGAAGTTTGGATGAAATTGGCTCAGCGGTTTATGAGGAGATGTCAATTAAAGCAAAAGTTTACGGACGGATGGACGACGGACGGCCGGACGACGGACGAAAAGCGATCACAAAAGCTCACCCTGTCACAAAGTGACAGGTGAGCTAAAAAGAAATCTTCCTAGTAATGGGGTAATCAATTTGGTGTGGGTAAGCAAGTACTGAAATCATTACTCATTGCCCTCCCTAAAATAAAACAATTATGAAAACTGTGTATTGAATTACTTCCATCAGAAGAGTAGCACAAGTATCAAATACACTTTTTTCCTTTTTTACATTCTTTAATAAACATACCTAACAGTCCTCCACTAGCTGTGGTTGTTCCAGCACCACCCAGACTTAATCCCCCACTTGATGCTAGTGTTGGTGTGCTCCCAACACCACCAAAATTAAATCCACCAACTGCTGCTGTTGAAGCTGAAATTTTAAAGTTGTGTGTAAATTATCATCATATGGTCATGCACACGTTAACTGTAACCACCTCTCAATGCAGTAATTTTGTTGTGGTACCAAACAGGGCCCTTTAAATTGTCCAAATCACAGTTCCAGGGCAGCGTTTTACTATTATTGCTTAAGTTTTTCCGTAAGAATTATTGTAACTTTAAGCTTACGTTTAAACTTACGTAAATCGGAAGTGTGTTTCACAAAATGTTCGTAAGTTTTTTCTTAGACTTACGTTAGAATAGTGCGTAACTCTTCAAAGAAGGTTTTCAGAATAAGTCAAGCGTTTTGGTAATATTCAATGACCGCAAGACATTTTGAAACAAGGCTAAACTGGTATTTCGTAACTTCATATACGGACACTCGGGAATGTTGCTGAGCAATTCGTATTTTTAAGTGCATAATGTGCCAACGGCCATCAATCACACAGGAGTTTCTCTCGATTTTAAATAAAGTATTTGAAGAGCATTAAGGAGAACCACATATGATCCATCACTGAAGATATTTAAAGGGTTTTTGGTTTGTTTCGAGAAGTAAAAGAACTAATGTTCGCAAGTGAAAATCTGGATTTTTTATTCTCAATTTTATATGAAATGTTTAGCTTATAACGTAACCCACATTTTTAAATTTTTATTAATTTATCTATTTATTTATTATGTTATGTTATTTATTTTTATTGTTTTTATTCATTTTATGCCTATCCATTAAAGAAAACCCCTTGATTTTTAACGATTTTACACCATGCGAAAAACATGCGTAAAAAAAGATGACACAAAAATGCCTCATGCAAACAAAAGCTATTTAGGTTTGTAGTCATAATTGCAGTGTAACTATAAGTATTTTAGTGAAGTAATGATGCTTAAATATTTGTCATAAAAACAACTGCAACAGATAATTTTATGTTCATTTGCAAATCATACAATTTAATGCACACATAAAGTTCATCATCATTTTAGATACTCTCCTATCCCGTCTTCACTTAGTTGATACAGTAGTATTGAACAAATGAAATGCTTGGACCATATCCTTATAAATCAATTATACTGATAAGTCATAATTTATTAAAACAATTGGATAGGTCTTACAGCCATATACCTTTAGAATTATTAAGAGAATCAACAATTTGATAATGAAACCTTTAAAGTTTTCATTCATTAGCAATAGGAAAAGAAATCTTCTATTGTAAGAATTTTTTTCTAAAGAATGTCAAAAACGTGAGATCCCCAGTTTCAGAGCACAAAAGTTTACAACAATTCAATACAAATTTATGTTAAAAAAAATTCACTTATGTCATAACGAGGCCAATGTCATCTTATCTTTATGTTAAGTGTTATGTCACACCAAAATACCTTTCCAGTTTTTATTATCAATCAGTAAAACAATCACCTTTGACTTTGAAGTCTAAGATGCATAGCTTCCTCACATAAAATTATCCCAAATCGCATGTGGGACTTAAACCCTTTTTATACCTTCAGATGAATAATTTTTGAAATCTGTAAAAGTGAAATTCTGACAATTTTATCAAATTTTATTTTACAAAGTGTTTGGGACATACACTAAGAGCACAATATAATTGATCAATGATGTTGATAAAGTTCATGATACCTGTGGGAGCTGTTGTTTTTGCCAAACTAAATGCTTGAGCAGCTGCCGTGGATGCAGGGGTTCCACCAGGGGTTACACCAGGAGTTCCACCAAAGTTGAATCCTCCAGTACTTGTACCTGATATAGAGATTATTCTCATATAATATATAAGTAATTATACTTCTATAATGTATCAAATATAGCTGCAAAAATAACCTAATATTGAGTATGTAGGAAAAGCATTTATTTTATCCGCTTATATCAATTTGAATTACTATTGGTCACAAATTTTATAATTTCAGACCTTCCAATTTCTAGTCAACAAGTTCAATAATAAACACATGTATACATAAACATTACATAATTTCAGTAGGGAAACGGATATACACACATATAACAGGTGTCCCATGCAAAGTATTGTATAATTCAACTTACATTTTCAGCTACTAATAAATCAAATTTAAAAAGATAGGCTCAACTTACGAAGATTGACACCTAAAGACTCACTGGCTGGCTGTTGTCCGAGACTAAAACCGGTTCCTGTGCTAGTTGCGGCACCTGCTGGCATGGAAGCAGGAGTAGCTGTTGCTCCAAAACTAAAACTTCCACCAGTTGATCCTGGTGCTCCCCCTGCTGTAAAATAACCATCATTATACATGTATATGTCAAATAGAGTAAAAGAAAAACATAGTTCATATATTACTTTATGCTGTTCACATAAATACTAAATTCATGATCTGAGAACAAAAGTTGAAAACAGTGAACTAACGAATAGTGTTCCTGTTTTGTATAAGAAAGATCAAGCAATACCAGTTTGTTTTTTTTTTTAATTATTAAAACAACCTGTGGCTTTCTGAAGGGGAAAATATAGCGTATAAAATCAGAAAAGGGGAAAATCAAATTCCAACAACTGAAAAATTAAATGAAATTTACCAACACATTTTATAAAATTTTCATTTTCAATTCAATTTAACATGCATGGTACATAGCAGAGGCTATTTATAGAGACTTTCTGTCTTCTAGCTGATACAAGTCAGCAGCTGTCGTGAAGAATGTGCACAGGGCATTTAAGGGGAATATTATAAGCATTTTTAGGGGAAAATATACCTATTTTGGGCAAGGGGAAACAGCCTTTATTCGGCGGTAAAATACATGGAAAAAAGCACTGAATACAGAATACTCCAATCAATGGATAGAAATTTTTATAATGTCATAATGATGCCATATAACTAAGAATCATTTTACTCCAGTAAAACTTTTTTCTTTTGAATAATTGCATCATTATTAAAGTTTCAAATTTGCACACAAAAAAAGGAATATGATTTTGTAATATAAGAACTTTGTTAGTTTTAGAGAATATAAATCATTTGAGGCCATTAAAATTTAAAATGGCAAAATACCTTATACAGTACAGGTTCAATTAAATAGCATAACACCTCCATAAATTTATCATTTCTTACAATTTTCTCTTTCAAATATAAAAAGAAAATTGATGATTTTCAAATATAAAAATCTAAACTAGATGAAAAGAGGTAAGTAAGAAGGTGTACATTTTGTACATATTATAAACAGACCTAAAGCAAATCCTCCACTAGGAGTTGCTGTGGTGGTACTCGCACCTGCTGCTCCTGGTGTTCCAAATGAGAATCCTCCCCCACCACCTGCAGGTGTAGAACCAAACAAGCCTACAATAGAGAATTGTTCTAAGGTAATATATGCATGTCCATCTCTAGCTTATAACAGAAATTGAGCAAGTATTGCCACAGGTCTCCACAACTTCCAAAATTCATATGAACAAAAGCAACTGTTTGTCTGTCTTCAACTTTGTCAACACACTCACTCCCAAAGTACACTCATTGATAGATACAGCCTATTTCAATTTGGTGGGAAGCGTTGGCCTAGTGGTTAAGGTGTCTGCCAAACAACCCAGAGATCATGGGTTCAAGCCCTACTCGGGTCACGACCATGTTTCTGGAAGCTTAATCAAAAGTGAATAATATAAGTTGCAAGAACTTGTTTCGCAATCGAGCTTAAATAAATATGTTTAAACCAAACAAACAAGCCTATTTCAGCAGTTAATGGATAGAACACCTTTACTGTACAGGTGATATCTAGTAGGTCACTGCTATAACCATATTTTTGTAGCTTTAATAGGCAGTAATATAAACTAAAAAAAATCACTGCCTAAGACTTTAGAAACTTTTCCCTCAAAATGAAAAACAAATATTAAATTTGATGATATATTAGTTACCTGTGGAGCCAGTGGTAGTTGTTGGGGTACCAAAACTAAAGCCTCCACCGCTTCCACCGCTTCCACCTCCTGCACCTCCAAACATATCGCTTCTTTTTTCTTTTCCTGCCTAAATCTTATCACAATGAAAATGCTCTGAAATCATAATAATTATTTGACCTTATATCAAAAGTAACTATATTTGATCTTACATCAAAAATAACTATATAAAGCAGTGTTTTTTTTCACCAAAATATTCGGCGAAATTCGGCCCCATTCCCCCCTCAAAATAATATGTTTTTTTCCCCTCTCAAAGCCGAAATTCCCCCATATGGCAGCCAAAATTTGCCTGCAATGAATACCATTTTTTTGCATATAACTACCGAAAAATGTTTTATTTTAAGCCTGTAAGACTTACTGTTAAGCAAAGTTGTTTACAAATTGTTCCTGGGTATGTAAGGGGAGCTATTCCTGGCGTCCCAACAAGTTTAACGTGCGACGCTTTAAATAATTCTTCGCTTTTACAAAAAGCGACGTATTTTAAACTTGTGTTGCAAGAGTTGCTCCCCTTTTCTACTCCCTGGAAAGAAAACCATGTCAAACAAAAGTAAATCTTACAGTGGTAAGTGGTGTATTAAAATATGCATTGGATTCGTTTTTGTTTCTCCTCCTTTGTGAAGAAATAAAATTCCCCCTCCTATTGCATTTTTCCCCCTCCAAACGGTACCGACCCCCTTCCCCCAAAAGTGAAAAAAAACACTGTAAAGACAGAATACTGCCGTCAGACTCAGCTGACATATAAAACCACCCAGGATTCAAATCCAACAACTTTAGTTAAGACCATCTATACCTAATTTGAAATATAAACTCTTGGAATCATTTTTACAATTTTCATTCTCAGCATGTTTATAGTGAACATAATACCCCTGTCCCATATTTCTGTGTTACGTGTAATTCCAAATTATTCAGTATTATATAAAAATTCTCAAGGGACTCCTAGACTGGAATTTAACTTTCACTTTCTTATTGTATGTTCTGACAATATACATTACAACTGAGAAAACTTATATTTAAAGGCCCATTATACCCACCCCCATAAATGCTACCAATTTTATTTCTCAAACACTTAATTTTTGGTATCTTGTTACAGTTTTCAAAGTATTATACTCATTTGCCATATACATGGACTATCTTTTGCAACTATGGCTCTGTTGGCAATGGGTAGAATTATATGGAAGTCAAAACACTATTTTTTTTTACATTTTGCTACCTTTTAATTTATGACACATTATTGCACATTCAGCACTACTTTCTGCAATTGATAAACATCTAACATGCTCTAATTCCATTAATTCAAACTATGCAAGACTGAGATAAAATAAAACAAAACTGCAAGGATGCAGCTGCCCATTGAAGATATATGTACAGGGATTTTTTTTGGCTTATTTTATAGCCAATATTCAATCATATTCAAATTGAAAATAGTATATTTATTTTTCCAATCCACATGAAAAAATTCCCAATTGAAGTTACAAAATAAAAATACTGAAAAACACATTCTACAATCTTTGAAAATAGGGGCTTCTTCACTGTTATGGTGCTAAAAATGTTTGAAGACCCCATTCTTGACGATGATTCTTTGCATTCATCTAATCACTTCAAAATTTAAGTCATGCATTTTTCCCAATTTTTAACAAAACATCGCTGAAATTCCCAATTCCATGATGGGTATGGGTCATGTTCCCAAAATCCTGGAAAAAAACACTGATGTACCTAAACTGGGACTGGCTAGTAAGGACATGGGTAGACCATTCCACAGACAAATACTTCTGGGAGTGATGCTGTGTCCTTGAGTATAACTCAGAAGGTTGTGTTGGATTTATTTTTGTAGATATTAAAAGGGTAACAGAGCTGATGTTGTGCCTCTGCTCAAAAGTTTGCAAGTTAAAATCTTTTAACATCTTAAAATACACTTAGTACTGGTGTAATTGTAGTCATGTATAATGTACATATCTGGCAGCTGTCTGACCTTTCAACTTGTTCTAATTTGTAAACAAAATATTTTTGCCTAGGATGCCAAACTATGGAAGAATATAATGCCAAACTGTGGAACAGTATTTTAACTAGGGCCATACATAAATTTTATTGGCAGTGTCTTTGACCAAATAACAAAATGACACTTTTAAAATGAAAAATAAAAAATGAACACTTTTTTTAAAACTGACTTCACAGCCTATCTTCACATTAAACACATTAAAATCCTTAGAAACAAAGATGGTTCTCATATGAGGTTCTTTACAGAACTATTTTTTTACATTTATTTAAACTTTCTTTTTAATAATGGTTATTTTTATCTATAAATGGTAGATTCTTCAACTAATAATAATGTTAGGGCTGAGGCGAGTATCGGAGTACTCGGATAATCACGAATCAAAGTGAAAATCGAGTTTGAATATTCGTAAGCCCAGAGATCGTGGATCGCGATCTTATTTGTTTATATACATTCACTGTTTCTCACACACTAAAAGTCGAGAAAAAAACGATTTGAGTATAATTATGGGAAGTTTACCTAAATACAATTTGCAGGTTAAAGACCATGTACCATGATGCCGAGCTAGGAAGTTATTGGTTTCAAAAAACAAAACAAAAATACTCATCCAAAGAATAAAAACATAAACCTGGTTGCATATATGTTTACTGGTTTCCTGACAGTTAGTTTCCGGACACAGATCGCACTTTGTAACAAATAAAATAAAAATCAGTCTACGGAGGGGTATAAAACTTTGACAGGACAAAGTTAGGTACCTGTCCAGCATTGCCATGTATTTAATGTTGCACTTTCATTTTACTTTTTAATTTGAATATAGGCCTTAAATGTAAGACCTTTTTTCACTTTTATTCAAAAATTCATAGCAGTTTTCCGGACCGTTTCTATTTTCAATATAATTCAGTACCATAAAGCAATATTAATATGGTTTTATCAGACAAACAGAGCTTCCCAGCCTTATCCGTTTCGTCTGCAAAAATATTTTCCAAAGTATTGATTTACTTAGTTATAACGCATGGATATTCAAACTAGAATTCCCCAGGTGTTGCTTTTTTTTGAAAGTCGCAAGTTCTCTTATGTAACTTTAAATAACAGGCAAAACTTCAAAACATATAAATCGTTGTACTCTTTTAAATGCTGTTTAGCATAAAAACAAATGTCCCTCTGATTGATGAAGTAATGTGGATAACTTACTGGTAAAAATAGACTGTACTGGACGAAAATGTTATACTGCCGGAAAACTGCTAGGGGACGGAAACTGCTAGGAAACCAGTAATGTTTAGTATTGTTTTTTTTTAAATAAACATATTTTTAGAACTAATGTACATGTTTTTATGGTTGTCTTGATAACAAAAGATTTGTGGTTCGATTTGTGAATCGTAAGTGCTGAATCGTGGATTGGATCGGATCGTCATTTATCGGACGATCCACACCCCTAAATAATGTCATCCAAAAAAATTTCAGTATTATCTAATGATGAGCCAAATAAGGCTTTTGCTTCTCTTAGTTCATGCCTTCATGGCACTTAATGCTCTGAAACAAGAAAGAAAAACAAACAATGACCTTATGATACAAAAAAATATTCATAAGCTGTAACATAAAAGGTCTTTTCTGCCATGTAACACAAGGCAACAACAACATATTCAATCAAAATCAGATTTAATGGGTCAGATGTAGACCACAGGTCAACCATTTTGAAAACAGTATGTCATCACTTAAATTGTGGTAATGGGCGTTAAACTATAGTTTTTTCAAGACTCAGTTAAAATTAACAATTGTTATATTGCTCAATTCTAAATATTAAACTTTTTTTTACTTTGTAACTCAAAATTATATTTTTCAACAAACAATAACATTTAAAAAATAGTTGAGTAAAATGTTGTTTTGTTCTACGAAAAAAATCTATGAATTTAGCACAAAAACTGTGTTGGTTAGGTGTATGACTAAAATATGACAATTCTGGCCAATTTTAACACTGGTCACATGTATGGAAATATGCCATAATCATGGAATAACTTCAAATTCAATTACTGGATGTTGAGTAATCTACGAGTGAGACTAAAAAAAGGATTGAAGCACCATACTAAGTTATTCATACCATATTCAGGTAAAAACCGGACAAGGCCCTTGAATTATAAAATGCTAAAATCTTGCCTTTTTTAAGTTTTTATACAACAGAAGGAACTTTGAACAGTTGAAAGGTTAACCGTTTAGTTCATCTTTTCACACCGATTTATGTATGATAATGAATGAAAAATGTAATAATCGTCGAAAGAAACGATATTTGTCTATTTTGTCATCATGAATAGAGTAACTGCTCAAGTCCTGTAATGAGTTAGATCTGTAAATTATCTATCCTGGATAGTATCCATATATAAAAATTATCTGTAAAATGGGCAAATGGTGAACTGCCACTGGTGAAAACGAAAATTGTACGAAAATAATATATCAAGGATCCTTTTTATTTAAACCACTCATCTAAACAGAAAAACTCTCAGCATAGAAGTATATATTGGTATACACATGTCATAATCTGTCTGAAGTAACTGTGTACCTTTCAACAGCTCGGAAATTCCATTTATTTTTTTTTTTTGCGCGAGTTTTTTTTTATGGTTATCTCCCTTTAATATCCGAAGCTAAGACCGTCTTTCTTATCTTTTTATCAATGTACGAGAAAAGCAGAAAGTTGGCATAAAATTATATAAAATATGTAGATATTGTAGAAATATGGTTAGATATCTGTAGAAGTGTAAACTTTTGTTTTTATCAAAATTCGAATATGCGCGGTAAGAAAGAAGAGGGAAATTTGTAAACAAAAACAAACCTCTGAAATTTTGTTTTGTGTTGAACTTGGTTGACAGAAAATGGAAAACAAAAATTCGGCCTGAAACTATTGTATCAACAATGTCCGAAAGAAAATCTGGACGGTAGGAAATCCCGAAATAACCATTCTGAATTAATATATATATTTGTAACAAGTTTTCGCGACCGTGTAAAAATAGTTGCATCTAAGGTCAGACCACAGGTGGCAGTATTAGTCTTTAGACACCCCACCCCAATCTGCCCCTGGAGCCCTACTACAATTCAAAAAATACCGTGAAACAGAAAAAAATCGGAATCATATTGATATTCGTTGGACTTGAACAGGCAGGCTCGTGAAAAATTATGCCTGATCAGGCTTTAGTCTAATATATTAATTAGACGTTACAGGCTTGTTATAGTTTATGTCGGTCAAGCCTGACGTCTAATAGTTATTGCTAAAAAACGCATAGCATCATAAAAAATTAAAAAAATGTCTCTTGTCTTGCCTTTCAAGCTTTATTCAAAAGCTTATCTTCTTTTCTTTCAATTTCATCCTCAATCATACACAAAACCTCTCAAACAATGTATACTTATCAATTTAAAATAAAATATAAACATCAATCTATTTTTGTCTATCAGCCATACTAGTTAAGCAAGATGCATTACAGATTGATTCCAAATTTTTTGAACGGAAAAATATATTTGGACACACTGACGGTACATGGGCAATTATTTCGTTAAAAAAATATTCCGTTAGAATGTTCTGACTCAGTTGCCTATCAGATTTCGCGCACTGTATGCCGCCATTTGTTTATCGGCTGTAAAAAGAATTTAAATACATGAGAGGATTTAATCATGATTTTTCGGGTGTGACAGTTTAATTATTTTGACAAAAGGTATTTATTTTTTAGTTTTGTTCATAAATAGGTCAAAACTAATGTAAATACACGCTGTCTTAATTGTTTTTTCGTTCTGCCCCATTTTCTGGCGGAACATGCTATGTGTTTTTGAGCAATTTCGATATGACGTTGCTTTGCCCAGAAGCAAAAAAATCTCAAAGCGACGTCATATTTATAGGACTAGCTTGGGCTTATATATATGACATAAAAAATCATATTTCTAGAAAAAAAATGAAGAGATTTCTTTTAAACTTTGTTTATTGAGCATAATGTATAACATAAACAGAAAGAAAAATATTTGGTAAATGTCACTTTTGTGAGAATTATTTTCCCTTTTTCATGTTTACAAATGTATATAACACATAATTTTCCAAGTCCTTAAAAAATATGTTACATATACAATTTATAAAACAAAATAGGTTAAATAACTTCTTTATGATCCATTTCATTGCGCCAACACCTGTCAGCATACATTAAGTCAACTTCGAAGTATAATGTTCAGTGTTAAATAATTGTCAAAGTATTTATGCCAGAAACAGAATATTAAATCCATATCAGTGTTTTTTTTCACTTTTGTCGGTGCCCTTTGGAGGGGGGAAAAATGCAACAGGAGGGGGAATTTTATTTGTTTACTTATTTTATATTGTTTTCTTTGCGGTGGAAAAGGGGAGCAACTCTTGCAACACAAGTTTAAAATACGGCTCTTTTTCTTAATATACCGATCTAAAATATTGATGCGTCACATGTTAAACTTGTTGGGACGCCTGGAGTAGCTCCCCTTACCTACCAGAGAACGATTTGTAAACAACCTAGCTTAATAGTAACTCTAACTCTTACAGGCGTTAAATAAAACATTTTTTGGCAGTTAGTTGCAAAAAAAAAGAAAGATATTTTATTCCAGGCAAATTCGGGCTGCCAAATAGGGGGAAATTTAGGCTTTGGGGGGGGGGGGGACATACAATTTTGAGGGAGGAATTTTGGTGAAAAAACCACTGCATATATATATAGAATAAAAGTACTAGCGCAATAATTTTGAGCAAAATGAAGATGTTGGACACATTTCTGATAAGAACTTAACATTGAAACAATTTTTTAAAGACTTCAAAAATTATGTGTCATATAAACATGAAAAAGGGGAAATAATTCTCACAAAAGTGACAGTAACCAATTATTGTCCTTTCTGTTTATGTCATATATTATGCTCAATAAACATACATTTAGTTTAAAAGAAATATCGTCATTATTTTTCTAGAAATATGATTTTTTATGTTATAAGCCCGATCGGGCATTTTCACCAGCCTGTTGAATTAGATAAGCTGTGGAAGTCTAGTTCTCTTTATTGATGTTAATGAATGATGCAGCAAAATCCTGCCAGAATGTGCCTCAGTCGCCAAAACGACGATTTCCCGTGTTCCACATTGTTTGGCAAATGAACATATAGTAGGCTTTTCACCTTTCTATAACTATAATTTTGATAGTTGAAAATTTATTTTTTATAATTTTATCGGTGGTTTTGTATTTGGTACCTTATAATAAGCCTTGAATTATTATTTTTTCAGGGTTGTAGTAGGAGTCCAGGGGCAGCTAGGGGTATGGTCTCCAAACACCTATACTGCCACCTGTGGGTCAGACTACTGTATTCATTATCCTGTAGCCCAATGTTATAAGAAACGCTCCTTAAACGAATCTACCAGGGGCTGAAGCTATTTTCTATCAGAATTTGTTGAAAAAAATATTTATCTCCTCCAATCACCCCAAATTGTGATATACCCAAAAATTTTGAGATACAGGATGTTTTTAGTTTAATGCACACACGCTATTTCATTTCAACGTCACAAATATGGAAATCAGCGTTAAAACTGTCAAAGAAGTTTTCTGCGCACAAATTGCTTCGTATAAAGCTAGGAGGCGTAAGATTTGCATTATTTCTGAACACAAGTGAATTTTAGTAAACATTTTGTAAAGCAAATTTATATTACCACTTTACCATTCAATTTTCTCACGAAAAGTACTTCCATACATGTGATATCCAGGCAGGATTAAAAAAAATCCAGATATTTCAACACTGATTCCGATTCCCGATATTACTGTTTACAGCTTGAATTCCCAATATAAAAAATCAACATAAAAAAATCAAACACAGTACCTGTATCTAAAATATAAACCGTTCCTTTTGGGCATTAATTGTTATCTGTCCATATCCTAAATTATAGCGTGTTGCTAATTGACAGCAAGGTGACATAATAAACAGTTCCATTACCCAAAGTTATTCTCACATGTTTAACTTAACAAATGTCGCGTGTCACTTTTAAAAATCTCAACAATTTACCTCTTTTATAATTTGGCAGTAGGTATTACACGCTGTGTCATCAAAAGGACCTTGTAAATTTACATCAATGAATTCAACTCAACCTTCGATTTTCTTTGATTAGTGCTGCACTGATAAAGATTAAAGATCGGCAGAATCATTTAAAGTGGATCATTCAAAAACCTGTTTGAGATGCGGCAAAACCATGTCTTATTAATCAATTTTTAGTGAGTTGGTATTTTTTATGCTCCCCGAAAAATTTGGGGTTGTCTGTCTGTCAGTCTGTCTGTACGTACGTCCCGAAAATTGTGTCCGGCCCGTAACTTTGTTATTTGAAGTCGGATTTTTAAAATATATTTCACAGAAATGATCACCATATTGAGACGACATGTCGCGCGCAACATTTGGGTCGCTACCTTGAAGGTCAAGGTCACAGCATGACCTTGCAGCAAAATCGTGTCCGGCCCATAACTTTGTTATTTGCAGTCGGATTATACAACTATTTTACATAAATGATCACCATATTGAGACAACCTGTCGCATGAAACATTTGCGTTGCTACCTTGAAGGTCAAGGTCACAGCATGACCTTGCAGCAAAATCGTGTCCGGCCCACAACTTTGTTATTTGAAGTCGGATTTACAACTATTTAGATCTCATTGAGTAGAAGTGTAGTGCAAAGAACAATAACTCTGCCTTGCCTAAGTTTGGAATTATCACACTTTGAACTTTATCTGGGACATAACTCTTGACACTACCAAGGATATACTTTTCTGTGTCCAAAACCTTGTAGGGGAGCATCACCCGGTTCAACCGGCTCTTGTTTCTTTTTATAACTACTACCCTAAAACGGTACTGTTCCTAATAGAAAATAGACATTAAAATTCCCAATTTTCAGTGTTTAAATTCCCAAAATGGCTGTTCAAAATTCCCACACGGCCAAGTGATTTCTCTGAAATCATTTAAATCCAACATATTCATATAAATCACCACTCAATAGTTCTACAAGGACAGTGGAAGCTGTAAGCTATCTTTATTCATGATGACTAATCTTATTTGTCGCTGAAAAAATGCATAAAAAAAAATCCCAATTTAATTCAAAATAAAACCGGCACCATTCCCAAAGTAGAGAGAAAAAAAAGCTGTAAAGAAACTGTTCACAATTATGAAACTTATTACTCTTTGTTTAGTACTGGTTGGTTCCAGAAATGAATTGAACTGAATGTTTATACAATAAGCTTATAGCTTACTACATAGTTATTCTTATACTTTTTCTTATGAAATAAATTCTGTATGAAAACTTAATCATTTTCAGGGCAAGAAAGGTAGTTGATTACACAAAATTTGGAGCAGATGATTTAGATGGTATGTCATTTTTCATAAAAAAGTTAACAAATGATTTCAGTTATTTAAGAACATTATTTTAGCAATCAAGGAACAATACAAACAGGTTTTGCAACAGTCATTCAACAGCAAATACATGAGGTCTTTGAATGAGTTAGTAGGTATAATGGTAACTCTATTATTTCACACCTTTAGATTTTCTATAAATAAAATTTAATCAATAAATATCCTGCATTTGCACCATCTGATTGTTCAAATTTAGAAATCATTATTGGATCCAATCTTAACAGTTAATTTCTTCAATGTTTTCATTTCCCTGACTCCAAGAAATGTGTGTCAAAACCATATTGTACTCAATTTAACAGTTGTATAATTCAGTATTGTATTCAACAATGTATAATAACCTTGTATTACAAATAGTTCTTAAAAATGTAGGTATTAAGCAAATAAATGTATCAAAATAGTTGTGTATAAAACCAAAGGGTGAACTTTCATAGAAAACCTGAACACTGGAAGAATACAGCAGCTAAACTTAGCTTGCACAAATGGCTAGGATTAAAAATTTATTTGTGTAATATTATGTTGTTTTTTTTAATATTCTGACTAACTTTCCATATTATATTAGATCATGAGTTTCTTCTTAAATTGAAATTTTGATATATTTTCATTCTTTTACACAGATGACTTTGCTGACAGCACTCCACCTCCCTCAAAGAAGCCTCGTTTGTCAAATAAAGAAAACAAAGAGAAAAAGACAAGCAAAAAAGTACCGAGGGAAAATGATAATGTTCAACACAAAAATGTCAGGTGAAAATGTTTATAAATTGGTTGATCAATCATTTCTTCATTTATTAGTTTGTGGTTACTTTTTGTTGGTTCATGAATTTTTACCTCAACAATTAAAGAAATGAGACAGCTATTGTACTAGCGTTGTGGTTGCTGTCACACTTATGTTAAGTTGGTATTTTTAAAATTTCTGCAAGGAAATGGGTTGAATCTTCACATACTTGTTTTTGTGATTATATCACATGATGGGCACAGGTCCAATAACTCTGAGTTACTTTTTAACAGAGCTGTGCCCATTTTCTTTCTGTCAAGCACTGAGAATAGTCAAGTGTGCTGTCTTACTGACAGATCTTGTTTGCTCATTCATTTGTTCATTTATCCATTCATTCATAATTCATTTGTTATGCCCCCACAATGTGGGAGCATATAGCGTTGCACTTGTCCGTCCGTCAGTCCGTACGTCCCGAAATCTTGTGAACGCAACTCCTCTTAAACCGGATGGCAGATTTTGCTTAAACTTACAGGGATGAACAACCTTAAGGTGTAGATGGTAGTAAAGAAAGGAATTTTCGCTGCGACCAAATTTAACAGAATTATGGCCCTTTGTTGATTTTTTTTAGTTTACATCAAGGTCACATTTTTTTGCTGTCATTATAGTCAAGTAAGAATCAAAGACCAACTTTAATGCTTTTGTAAATGATTATTTCATAATTAAATAGATAAAGTATCAAATAAGTTTTGTATTATAATGTATCCAAATATATGATTTAGAAACTACTCAACAATCTTTCCTTTTTGACATGTTATTTTACCTGCTAGTTTCAACAATTTATTTCTGAGTAAGTCTTTTACCTCGTCGTAAATTTTATTTATGTTGTTGGTATATAACTACTCCATTTTGTTTTTTGTTAGTCGTAAATCTGTAGAAGAAAGGCGTTATGAGCGTGAGCTACAGGAAGCATTAGAGTTGTCAATGAGCCAATCAGATCCTTCCCAGGAATCTGCCACTGCTACTTCAGATAATGACAAAGGTCAGAATGAGGCTCCACCTGTGATAAATGATACAAACCAGAATGAGGCGCCACCTGTGATTGATGATACAAACCAGAATGAGGCTCCATCAATAATCATCCAGGATGATGAAAGGGATGCCCCCTCTCCAATATTGCCTGTGATGGGTAATGCAAATTTCTCTTTTTTTATATGCCGAAAAAATTTCGGGCATATTAGGTTATACCCCCTGGCGTCTGTCCGTCCGTACGAATCCAGAGGTACTTGTGTGACTTGGAGAACAATGGGTAACAGTAAATTCTCTTTGATCCTATTCATTCCGTTTTTACTTGTGTGTCTTTTTTTAAGCCTTGTGTGACTAAAAATGGCCAAAAAGATCAAAGGAAAAGTCACAAAAGTACCATTTTGTGAGTATGTTCGTCCGTCCGTTAGCAATTTGGTTTCCTGAGCATAACTTAAGTTCCATTTGGCCCACAGTATTCAAACTTCATCGGATGATTGCCCATATTGGGTAGAAGACCCAATTGATTTTGGGGTCACAAGGTCAAAGGTTAAGGTCACCATAACCTTAAAACTGAAAATGGTTTCCAGAGCATAACTTAAGTTCCATTTGGCTCACATTCTTCAAACTTCATAGGATGATTTTCCATATTGGGTAGAAGATCCCTAATGATTTTGGGGTCACAAGGTCAAAGTCACTATTTCCTTAAAACTGAAAATGGTTTCCAGAGCATAACTTAAGTTCCATTTGGCCCACATTCTTCAAACTTCATAGGATGATTGTCCATATTGGGTAGAAGATCCCTAATGATTTTGGGGTCACAAGGTCAAAGGTCAAGGTCACTTTTACCTTAAAACTGAAAACAGTTTCCACTCAATAACTGAAGTATTAATCAACTTACAGCTGTAAAATTTTATAGGATGAACAGCCATGTCCAATACATGACCCCTATTGATTTTAGGGTCATAAGGTCAAAGGTAGGGTCACAATGATCTTAACACTGAAAGTTATGGTTTCTGAAGCATAACTACAACTTGATGCTGGTGCTTTGAAAACAGCAACTGTATATATATGAAGGGTCTTCAGCTATAAAGGAGGATTGCTTTGTTTTCCTTACTAACAAAAAAAAACCTTTGGGCATATAATGCTCCGCCTAGCAGTGCTCTTGTGTTAATTTGATTTGATTTGTGTTGGTAATTGCTGTTGTTTCCTTGAGCAAGAAACTTTACACTCTTTGCTTAGTACTTGTTATTTCAAGGAAGGGATTCGAGAATGTTTTAATAAGCTTATAGCTTCCAAAACAATAAACAATTGAACTTAAACAATTTCGTATAATAAAAACTTTAACATTTCATAGAGCACTACATGAACATAACTACTAAACATAAGCCTGTTTGAGTGCTCTAGCAATATCAAAGGAGTTTTTAGCTCGACTATTCACAGAATAATCGAGCTAATGCAGTCACCCATTTGTCGGCGTCCCTGTGGTTAAGTTTTTGCGTGTAAGCTGGTATCTCCATAAATACTGAAGGGAATGGATTGAAACTTCACACACTTGTTCTCTGTCATTATCTAACATTATTGGCACAAGTCCCATAACTCTGATTGCTTTTTTTGCATAATTATGCCCCTTTTTCGACTAAGAAATTCTTGGTTAAGTTTTTGCATGTAAGCTGGTATCTCCATAACTACTGAAGGAAATGGATTGAAACTTCACACACTTGTTCTCTGTGATTATATTACATGATTGGCACAAGTCCCATAACTCTTGATTTGTTTTTAGCTCACCTGAGCATATGCTCAGGGTGAGCTATTAGGATCACTCTTCGTCCGTCGTCTGTCGTCCGTTGTCCGTTGTTCGTTCACACTTTTCAAAGGACATCTCCTCTGAAACCATAAGGCAGATCATAATGAAACTTCACAGGGATGTTCCTTTTGTGAAGCCTTAACAAAGTTGTTCAAAGAATTCCATTCCATGCAGAACTCGGGTTGCCATGGCAACCAAAAGAAAAAACTTTAAACGTCTTCTTCTAAAAAACCCAAAGAGCTAGAGCTAAGATATTTAGCATGAAACATCTTCTAGTGAGTGTCTACCAAGATTGTTCAAATAAAAGCCCTGGGGTCAAAATTGGCCCCGCCCCAGGGGGTCATTGATTTTCCTTATATGCATATAGTAAAAACTTAAAAAAATCTTCTTTTAAAGAACCCAAAGAGCTAGACCTAAGATATTAAACATGAAGCATCTTCTAATGAGTGTTTACCAAGATTGTTCAAATAAAAGCCCTGGGGTCAAAATTGGCCCCGCCCCAGGGGGTCATTGATTTTCCCTATATGCATATAGTAAAAACTTAAAAAATCTTCTTCTAAAAAACCCAAAGAGCTAGAGCTTAGATATTTGGCATGAAACATGTTCTAATGGATGTCTACCAAGATTGTTCAAATAAAAGCCCTGGGGTCAAAATTGGCCCCACCCCAGGGGGTCATTGATTTTCCCAATATGCATATAGTAAAAACTGAAAAAAAAATTCTCTTAAAGAACCCAAAGAGCTAGAGCTAAGATATTTAGCATGAAACATCTTCTAATCAGTGTTTACCAAGTTTGTTCAAATAAAAGCCCTGGGGTCAAAATTGGCCCCACCCCAGGGGGTCATTGATTTTCCCTATATGCATATAGTAAAAACTTTAAAAATCTTCTTTTAAAGAACCCAAAGAGCTAGACCTAAGATATTTAGCATGAAACATCTTCTAATGAGTGTCTACCAAGATTGTTCAAAAAAAAGCCCTGGGGTCAAAATTGGCCCCGCCCCAGGGGGTCATTGATTTTCCCTATATGCATATAGTAAAAACTTAAAAAATTTTCTTCTAAAAAAACCCAAAGAGCTAGAGCTAAGATATTTGGCATGAAAAATGTTCTAATAGATGTCTACCAAGATTGTTCAAGTAAAAGCCCTGGGGTCAAAATTGGCCCGCCCCAGGGGGTCATTTATTTTCCCTATATGCATATAGTAAAAACTTAAAAAAATCTTCTTTTAAAGAACCCAAAGAGCAAGAGCTAAGATATTTAGCATGAAACATCTTCTAATCAGTGTCTACCAAGTTTGTTCAAATAAGAGCCCTGGGGTCAAAATTGGCCCCGCCCCAGGGGGTCATTGATTTTCCCTATATGCATATAGTAAAAACTTTAAAAAATCTTCTTTTAAAGAACCCAAAGAGCTAGAGCTAAGATATTTAGCATGAAACATCTTCTAATGGGTGTCTACCAAGTTTGCTCAAATAAAAGCCCTGGGGTCAAAATTGGCCCGCCCCAGGGGGTCTTTGATTTTCCCTATATGCATATAGTAAAAACTTTAAAAAATCTTCTTTTAAAGAACCAAAAGAGCTAGAGCTAAGATATTTAGCATGAAACATCTTCTAATGTGTGTCTACCAAGTTTGTTCAAATAAAAGCCCTGAGGTCAAAATTGGCCCAGCCCTAGGGGTCATTGATTTTCCCTATATACATGTAGTAAAAACTTAAAAGTCTTCTTTTAAAGAACCCAAAGAGCTAGAGCTAAGATATTTAGCATGACACATCTTCTAATCAGTGTCTACCAAATTTGTTCAAATAAAAGCCCTGGGGTCAAAATTGGCCCCGCCCCAGGGGTCATTGATTTTCCCTATATACATAGAGTAAAAACTTAAAAATCTTTTATTAAAGAACCCAAAGAGCTAGAGCTAAGATATTTAGCATGAAACATGTTCTAATGGATGTTTACCAAGTTTGTTCAAATAAAAGCCCTTGGGTCAAAATTGGCCCCGCCCTTGGGGGTCATTGATTTTCCCTATATTGCATATAGTAATTAAAAACTTAAAAATCTTCTTTTAAAGAACCCAAAGAGCTAGAGCTAAGATATTTAGCATGAAACATGTTCTAATAGGTGTCTACCAAGTTTGTTCAAATAAAAGCCCTTGGGTTAAAATTGGCCCTGCCAGGGGGAGGGGGGCAAAAGTCATTGTTTTTCATTATTTGTGTATAGTAAAAACTTAACATCATGAAACATCTTCTAATGGGTGTCTTCCAAGTTTGTTCAAATAAAAGCCCTTTGGTTTAAACTGGCCCCGCCCTGGGGGCCTATGTACAGGTGAGCGACCCCAGGGCCATTATGGCCCTCTTGTTTTCATAATTATGCCCCTTTTTCGGCTTAGAAATTCTTGGTAAAGGTTTTGCTTGTAAGCTGGTAACTGCATAACTACTGAAGGGTTTGTGCCTTTTTTGGGACAATTTTATGCATTCATAATAATATAGCAGTGATTTACTATATAAAACATTTTAATAACAGGCCTTTGTACCTTTTCAGACAATTTTATGTATTCATATAGGTAAGCATTATTATACTCAATTGAAACACCCTTGTGACAACTTTTTCGAATAGTCTAGCGTTACTCCGACAGTTCTTGTTAAAAATTGATTTTGTGATTTTATCACTCATGTGTATTTTAAGACAGAATAGGCATATTAAGAATGAAAATTTGCATCTCTTACGTGTAACAGGTTCTTAGATTTTTTTATTTACAAGGACACAAAAGTATCTGATCGAACATTGAATTTTAATGAGAAATTAAGCTTACTTTTTACATATATACATGCCTTAATAAGAATGTGTTTCCAAAGCTTAGTTATATGCTGCAGTATTAAAGAAAAGTCCATATCACATTGATGTTTATAATTTATTACTGTGAAAAGTAGTGGTTAGTACCATTACATCAGATAAATATGGCAGTATTCATGTCTAGTGGACAAATTAAAAAGTTTATTTTATCTTTCAGGATTTCCCCCAGTATTGCCAAGAATGACAAAATGTGATGATGAAATTGAAGTGTTAGAGACAGATATTGAGGCTGTGCCGTCATCACGTCGTGGAGCAAGTAAGAAAAAGAAGTACATAGACTCGGACTCAGACTCTGCTGCTGAAGGTAAGATTTCCTCCCTAAGTTAATACCTCATTCCTCCCTCAGTTTATACCTCATTTCCCCCCTTGGTTAATACTTCATTTTGCCCTCAGTTAATACTTCATTCCTACCCCCCCCCCTTAGTAAATACCTCATTCCTCCCTCAATTAATACCTCATTTTCCCCCTCAGTTAATACATCATTCCTCCCTCAGTTAATACATCATTTCTCTCTCAGTTAATACCTCATTCTCCCTCATTTAAACCAAACCTCATTCCTCCATCAGTTAATACCTCATTCCTCCCTCAGTGAATCCTCATTCCTCCATCAGTTAATACCTCATTCCTCCCTCAGTTAATTCCTCAGTAAATTCCTCATTCCTCCATCAGTTAATACCTCATTCCTCCCTCAGTTAATTCCTCATTTCTCCCTCAGTTAATACATGTACATCATTTCTCCCTCAGTTAATACCTCATTCTCCCTCATTTAAAACCTCATTCCTCCATCAGTTAATACCTCATTCCCCCCTCAGTTAATACCTCTTTCTCCCAATTTAATACCTCATTCCTCCATCATTTAATACATCATTCCTCCCTCAGTTAAAACCTCATTTCCCCCTTAGTTAATACATCATTTCTCCCTCAGTTTATACCTCATTCTCCCTCATTTAAAACCTCATTTCTACATCAGTTAATACCTCATTCCCCCATCAGTTTATACCTCATTTCCCCCCTTGGTTAATACTTCATTTTGCCCTCAGTTAATACTTCATTCCTACCCCCCCCCCTTAGTAAATACCTCATTCCTCCCTCAATTAATACCTCATTTTCCCCCTCAGTTAATACATCATTCCTCCCTCAGTTAATACATCATTTCTCTCTCAGTTAATACCTCATTTAAAACCTCATTTAAACCAAACCTCATTCCTCCATCAGTTAATACCTCATTCCACCCTCAATTAATACCTCATTTCTCTCTCATTTATACCTCAGTAAATACCTCATTTCCCCCTCATTTAATACCTCATTCCTCCCTCAGTAAATACCTCATTTCTCTCTCAGTTAATACATGTACATCATTTCTCCCTCAGTTAATACCTCCTTCTCCCTCATTTAAAACCTCATTCCTCCATCAGTTAATACCTCATTCCCCCCTCAGTTAATACCTCTTTCTCCCAATTTAATACCTCATTCCTCCATCATTTAATACCTCATTCCTCCCTCAGTTAAAACCTCATTTCCCCCTTAGTTAATACATCATTTCTCCCTCAGTTTATACCTCATTCTCCCTCATTTAAAACCTCATTTCTACATCAGTTAATACCTCATTCCCCCATCAGTTAATACCTCATTCCCCCCTCATTTAATACCTCATTCCCCCTCATTTAATACCTAATTCCTCCCTCATTTAATACCTCATTTCTCCCTTAGTTAATGCCTCATTCCCCCATCATTTAATACCTCATTCCTCCCTCACCTGTTGCTTAAAATTGTTTAATGCTAGGTGGTTTTTATCATCTGGCGTTTTGGGACATCTGCAAAACAAATAGAAAAGAGAGGGGGAGAGGGGGGGGTAGAACCTGTTGCAAATTGCCAAAGATATAAACTTAAGAGAAATTAAATTACGGCAGTGTTTCATGAGTAAAAGGAACTATTGTTGTGCTACACTATATGCCTTTTTCCTCTGACGGATAGATAACTAAAAATCTGTTTTAGAGTCTTTCTAAAAAGGCGATATCAAAATAAATGCATTTTATCAGAGCTTTTCACTGTATGTTTAAAAATGTTTCTGACTGCTACCTTTTAAAACCACATATCCCCATTTGAATGAACAAAATTTAGCCCAAATATAATAAAGAAAATAATCTGCTACCAGACTGAACATTCCTAGGAATGAAAGATATACATGTATGTACATATGAATCAAGCTTGCAGTTGTTCAGAGCTTTTTAAAATTCTTAGAAAATGTTTTTTTTTAATGCATGAAAATCGTGTTTGCAAATAGAGATACTTATATTTCAGACTTTGAAATAGATCTTAGAAAGTTTTTAAGCAGCCCTCTGACTCCTAAAGTTAGAAAGAGAAATAAAGATAGTGGTTTGTGTTGAAAATTTTCATCTTATGTTGATAGTCCATTTGTTCGGCTTAAATTATTTTCTCTTTGTTTATTGTTTTTGTATGTATAAAGTATTTTATTTATGTTGTAATATGTTGTGTTATGAAAGTCATGTTTTTATGCATGTATTTTTGAGTTTATTTGTACATCCCATATTGTCCAGACTGTCATTGGTAAAAACTGAGGGTACTACTGCTTTGTCAGGACCTATCCATGTACTTGTAATAGACTTGTTCCATGCTTTAACCAGCATGCCTCCAAATTCATGCTTATTTTCATGAAACTATTAAATATAAAATTAAAATTTAAAGATTGTGAAGGAAACAAAACAAATACTTTACACTTTGCAAACAGCAGTTGTCATCCATGTAATTTACCAACAAGTGGTCAAAATAAGCAAAAAAATAGCCCTTATTGCATAAGTAACACAGTAAAAATGCAGTGAAAAATACTGGAAAATCAGTGCTTAATCGCATATAAGATATAACATGCAAATTAATACTTGACTCTTAAATCTTTTTACTTTTCTATAAATTTTAGTACATTTGTCTTAGGTTTAATTTTCTTGTAATGTTTTGGCTCATCTAGAGGCATGCAGCTTTAAAGCAAAGGTCTGTTAACACTTGTAATAGAGCTACAAGGGCTGAAGTGGTCTGAATAAAGAAATTGTCATATTTACTATGAATAAATTGAAAAATACTTTAAGAAAATAAATATATTACTGTCAACTATTTTCAAAACAAAATGCTACAAAATCAATTTAGAAAGTAATAATTGAATAGGCTATTTTTACCTTCAATTATTGGTCAAACTGTAATTGTCAGTACCAGTCAGATCAAAATGGCACATATTTGTAAGTTCCCTTCCATGAAATTAACATGTAAGTTTTTAAGGCAGGAACTTTGTCAGAGCCAATCAGTTTAAAAAGCTATCTTTGTTTCAATTTATTTTAAAATGACAGAAAGAAATACTCTATACATGATGAAAATATAGATACTTGATATATTTTCAGACAGTGATTTTGCTCCTGAGGATGATGATAGTTTAGATGATGATGATAATGATGATGATGAAGATGATTATAATCCTGAAGACAGTGATAGTGACTTTGGATCATCTAAAAAGAAGAAATCAACTAAAAAGCCTGCTGCAAACACTACAAAAGCCACAACAAAAATTGCAAAAGCTACAACAAAAACTACAAAAGTTACAGCAGGTATTGTTTGTGTCTACTTAATTTAAACTTATATCTGGTTTGGTTTTTAAGCCTGCTTTAACACAGTATTGGTTATATTATGGCTTTCCTCAATAACTATCTTGTTGCTAATTTCTTGGCAAGTGACCACCTGCAATCTCACATAAAATAGAAAACAATGGTGATAGATGAATAACCATTAGGCTCTGTCCAAGACCAATTGTCACTGTGAAATTTCACCTCATTTGAGGATCAAACCTGCAACCCCTGTAGTACAATCCAATGCTCTCTCTATTGAGCTAAGCAGGTGGACGTGCAAACTCAACTGGTGTGTTGAATATTGCATTGGGCTGTTTAGCAGACCTAAAGACAATATGCTAAGAGTGAGCTATTGTGATTGTTGTTCAGTCATCAATTTCTTGATGCAACATCTCTGAAACCCGTGACTGGATATTGACCAAACTGCACTGGAATGATTCGATCATCATTGCCTTGTCACCTATCATAGTTGTTCAAACGGTTCTTGTCGGTAACACAAGTATGTCACAAGGCCAATGGGGTTTTAAAAATATAAATTTCAAGAATCTTCTAGTCTGAAAATATATATACAGTAAAAACCCTCAATTAAGACCACCATTGGGACTGGGCCAAAGTGGTCTTAATTGTGGGGTGGTCTTAATTCTGAATATTCTAATCGATGCTTACACTCTTTTTGACCATGGTCTATTTTAAGCATTTTTAAGAACAAACAAAATATTTACCAGCAACTGCAACATAAAACTATGTTATAAATTAGCATCTGATGGAAAGAAAGAAATATCAAAATGTATTTTGTCTGATTTCAATATCAATTTCAATATATTAATTATTATCTGATGTACATAATTCAACCCTCAAATAAAAAAATAAGTTCTTAGCATAATCAATGTGCTTAAAGTAAGATTTAAACACTCTAAAATTTACTTTCTCACCTTATTTCATACAATATCCCAATGATATAAGGTGTTCTTGACACCTTGTCAAATTAGGTGTCATGCCTTAGAGCACTCAAGCTGATAATAACAGCAAATTTTAGATCTTGGTAGGTGTTAACTTTAAATCAGTGGTCTCAATACTGGGGTCAAATAAATAACAAAACAAAGAATTGGGACTGAATCTTGTGGTCTTAAAAGTGGATAAGCGAGGTGGTCTTAATTCTGGATCATGAAACCATTGACATAAAGAACAAAAAATTCCGTACTTTTAAAAAATTGTCTCAATAGCGAGGTGGTCTTAATTCCGGGGTGGTCTTAAGAAGGGATTCTACTGTATTTCAGTAATATATATATAAATTATATTTTACAAGCTTTTTATGTCTCAAATGCTTTGATAAAATTGCTTATATTAGATCTGTTTGTTAAATTTCATCATTCCAGATTACAGTTTTAATCTCTATTAAGTACATTGTAATCAAGTTTGAATGAAAAGTTGACAATATTTTGAAATTTCAAATTTTGATTTCCTTTGAAGATAGGTTATCACTTAGTGAAGTGTACACATTTTAGTGTAGAATGACTTCAGATAAAGCAGAAATTGTTCAGTATTTTTCTCCAGGGATTATTCATTTTTCCCTATGCTCATATCTCAGTTTGAAATATGACACGGATAATGTTTATCTAAATTACGATGATGTAAAAGGCTCATAGATAAACTTTAAATGTGTTTTGTTAAGTGTGATGGAAACATGTCTCTGACTATAAATGGAGAATTCTTTTAAAGCCACTTGTGAAATGGGCAAAAATATAGAAATGGGCAAAAATATTTTCTCTCTTTAAAATCAAAGTTGTTAAGTGAAGGTGATTTGATACAAACAAACAAAGAAATGAATCATACTTCAAACAAATTGTTGAATGATTTCTGTATTGATGTGAGGGTAATATGCAATGAAATGGGAGCATTAATGGGTAATCATTTTAAAATGATAAAGACAAATGGATGTTTGCAATTTTGTTTCTCAGTATTTTACACATAAAGTAATTTAATGCTGGCTTATTGTACTGTTTTTTGGGTCTAAATGTCCTTTGATATTTTAAGCTTAATTTTTGTCACATATCATTAACGCATTGTTAAATCTTCAGTAAAAAATATTTAGATACCATTCTGAACATTTTTGGAAAAGGAAAATTGGAAATAATTTTTATTTGTTAACTTATTTCGTAGAAAAAGTATATGCCGGGTAATTGTTACCTACGCTAAAGATTTTTCAGAAAAATTAAACTATAATCTGACCAGATAAAAAGGAGAAAAAAGTAAAAATTAATAAAAGAAAAAAATTGCTCACAATTGGGTCTATTCATTGAGGAAGAATACTTTTCAAACAGGAGGTTGTAAATTAGTGAAGGTCAAGTAAACAATTTATAAGGGGTCACAGTAACCTTAATTTCTAACCTGATGACCTCATAATAGGGGAATTAGTAGATCCATTGATTTCAGATCAATAATCACATTGTCTTTCAGTATTGTTGAACTTGAAGAAACTGTAAAAAAACAAAACAAATTATTCCCCTGCTCAAACACATACGGAATACATTTGGCAGAGTATAGCTATGTCAACATGATCCATGTTCATGCTAGCATCAGGTTTATGCAAATAGTCATAGGGGAATGCTTGAAATCTGTTTCCCTTGTTTTAATACAAATGTAAAAGTTAATTGTTACATTGCTTGTTAAAATTTAAAAATAAAATTCCTCTTGTTTTCAAACAAATATTTGTGTTTAAAATTACATAATGGCATGATTGATTATCGGTCCTTTGATTGTTAATTGTTGTCTAGTTTGAGATAAACACAACTACATTAGAGTCATGTCTGTAACTCTACTGCTGGCTAATGTTTAATTACTATAGGGAAAAAAAACAACATTGAAATAAAATATTTGAATTTTAAACAGAATGTTCATCCTCCCTAGTGGCTGAATTCTTTTTAAAAAAACAACAACAACAAGTTTTGTTTTGTTATACACCTATCAATGAATCTTTATCATTTCCCATCATTTTCTGGATTCTTTTTATAAAACAAAACTTTTTGTTTTGATATACATCAATCAATGCATTTGTGTTGTTCCCCCCCCCCCCCTCCATTGGCTGGATTCTTTTTTATAAAACAAAACTTTATGTTTTGTTAAAACATCAATCAATGAATTTGTATTCCCCCCCCCCCCCTCCATTGGCTGGATTCTTTTTTATAAAACAAAACTTTATGTTTTGTTAAAACATCAATCAATGAATCTGTATTATTATCTCAGTTTTCCATTTAACTTCATTTGATGTAACTAGTGGAGTGAATAATTTACTTGTAAAAATTGCTTTACCTCTAATGGAATATTCAGTTTACATAATAAATTGATTCTTGGTTAATGGAATCAGTATGATATTTTTAAATTAATATGATACAGTGAGTGTCTAAATGGGTTCTGGAAGTGTGATGTTATGATTTAATGAAAGTGGTGATATTATCGGAACTTTTCCGGTGCATTACAGTCACGTAGACTGCTCAATGTAATTAACAATATCATGTTGTAATGCAGTTTCTAAGGGGTGTTACAGAATTGAGAAACGCTATTATTATGGGATGTTACACTTAATATGAATTTCAATAAAGTAAATCAAAATAATCCACTCTTTTCTATGGAAACATGGAATATCATCTAAAAGATTGCTTCTTGTACACATATTTTACTTACAAGGCCACCAGAATTGTCGAACTGACTGTGTTGCAAATTTAATTTAGAATATGGAATAAGCGTGTGGAATGAATAAAAGAAATAAATGTTTTTATAACACTTGTTTGCTTTTTTATTTTATAATAAAAAAGTGAAAATATTCTAAAATATGTTGTTCTGCCAGTTTGTTTCTTGCAATTTTAAAATTGAAGATCATTGTCAACAGAATGCAGTCAATTGTGGGCACTTTTATTCAGCTATAAGGAAGGAATGTACATTTTGAAGGAAGGAAATCTTTTATTTAAAATAGCTTAATGAATTTTAAAAAATGTCTATTAGAATATATATTGATATGGCTTTAATGGCCCAATTAATTTTTTGTATATAATTATATTTCATGAACATATATTTCATATATACATTATTAAACTTAAATAACATCTTAATTATTTTAGGGACTACTAAAACTTCAGGACCAAAAGCAACAAAAATAACAAAATCTGTAGCAACCAGTAAACCAGGAGTTACACATAAACCTCTAGCAACTAGCAGTCCAACAACTAATAGAACTCCCACCTCTGGTTCAGCTGCTAATAAAACTTCTAATTGGAAACCTCCAGGTAATTTGTTTTAATAATTTAAAAATTAAGTATTAGAATAGATGAAATAGAATGAAAAACATAAAACTCCACCCTTTTACTTAATTAGAACTCAATATTTTCAACATGAACATAGTGACCATGAATATTGCACCCTATGTAATTAAAAACAGTTCATGAAGTGTTTTCTTCACTGTATTGCTGTTACTATTGTGTTAATAAATGTTTTGGTAGTAATTATTATGCTTAATTGAGGGAGAGCATGTAATAATCCTAGTCAGTCTACTTCACATTTCTTAATGTACTTTGTAATTCTTGTTACTTTTAGCTTGACTATTCGATAAGAATATGTAGAGCTATCCTAGTCACCCAAGCATTCGCGTAACCACTTATGTTAAAGTTTGTGTAGCCCCTCAAATATTTTCAAAGTCCATTGACATATGGCTTTGAAACTTTGCACACTTGTTCACCATTATGCCTTCAACCTGTAGACAGGAGGAGGTATCTCTATCAAACATTTTGACAGAATAATGCCCCCTTCTTTTTACTTAAAGTTTATATTAAAAAGTTTGCATACCACCTCAAATATTTTCAAAGTCCATTGACTTTGAAAACAGGTTGAAATTTTATACTTTTCTTTGAAAGCATAATAATACTTTCTCCAAGGCCTTTAACTGTAACATGGATTTGAAGAAAAAAATGGTCCTTTTGTGAACCTAGAAAATTTTACATTATCAAGGCTCTTTTACTGTCAAGCACTAAGATTTAATCTTAGTCGAGCATGCAGTCCTACCAACAGCTCCTGTTGCTTGTCAATGTCTTTCCATTTTTGCTAGGAACATTCTTTTGGTGGTCTTTTAACTTTAATGTTTAGTAGGGGTTCACTTGGTTTGAAAGATAACTGGTGTTTTAAATATACTTTTACCCTTATTCAGTCTTTGTTTATAAATTGAGGTCTGTAATAAAGTAGGCTTCTAAATTTGGTTGGAGTAAAGCTGAAAAGTTGCCACTCAACCTCTTTGTGTTGGTGCAAGGTAAAGGCCAAGTGGAAAAAAATATTAAAACAACTTCTTTATATTTTCAGGTATGGCTGGCAAATCACCATCTGTGTCAAATACAAAAGCTACAAATAGTGTAATTGGCAAATCGCCAATTGGTATAAACAATAAGGCTAGACCATCAATCAGCAACAGTGTTGGAAAGTCACCACTAGGTGGAGTTAACATTAAATCTCCCAGCTCAGGACTCAGAATTGGACTGTCAAGAAATATGAAATTAAAACCGTTACATCCAAATCTAAAGATGCAACAATGAGAGTGGTGGTTTTTAATTTAGGATGTAAATAATATTTATATAAGGAAATATGTTGTTTAGAATGAAAAAAGGCAATACATTAGTGATTTTCATGCAAGTATTTCAAGGAATAAACTTCTTCTTGTGCAAGATGTTACAGATGAAAAAGTTGATATGTCAGTTTTGCTAAAATTGGATTTCTTCACAGCAAATTGTAAACAGGAAAAATGACATCAAATTTAATTTTTCGTAATTATTTGAATATTTGGCCGATATTAGAATAGTCATTCCCATCTCTGCTAAATACTGAACACTTTTGCAAAGAACACTTACAAGAACACTGGTGCTCATATTTTATCTTATTGTTTATTTGAAATTTTATCTGATTTTAAATAAGAGTCCTTATCATGAAATTATTTATATTGGTTTTTGCTTGTCTTTGTTTTTGTTCATAAGTTAACTCATAGATGATATTTTGTTGTTTTTCTTCATTCTTAAGTGTGGTAAAAAATTTCAGTAAAGACAGAGTCACATGAATATTTCTAATGAAATCATGGTCTTCAAAAGGGCTTTGTTCACAGGTTAACTGTGGTAGAGGTGTTGCTTCATTCTTGAAATTGAGGAAGACTGCCGCAATAGCATTACAGCACAGACCAAGTAACAATAATATAAGTTGCAAAAGAAAAGTAAAGATATTTCTTAAAAAGGAACTTATTTTTCTTCGAAATTTAATCTGAAAGAGTTATGACTAAAATAATCAAATGGAATGGGATATTTTGTACATTGTATTGAAATTCTCAGGTTTTTAAGATATTTCATTTTTTTTTTTAAACAAAGTACATGTAATCATTGAAAAACGATATTTATTTGTACTATTGAAGATTATTGCTTGTGATCTCTTAATAAAACAAATTGAACGTAAAAACAAAGGGTTCTGTTTGTAATCTATTATTATTATACCCCCAAAAACGAAGTTTGGGGGGGTATATAGGAGTCGCCCGGTGGTCGGTCGGTCGGTCGGTCGGTCCAGACGTCCGTTGCATTTTCCTTGTCCGGACCATAACTTGAAGACAAATGGTTGGAATTCAATATAACTTCATACAATGGTCATGCACATTGAGAGGAAGTGCAGTGCACAAGAACCATAACTCTCTCTTGACTAATTACAGAGTTATTGCCCTTTGTTACTTTTCCTTGTCCTGGGCATAACTTGAAAACTACTGGTTGGAATTCAAAACAACTTCATACAATTGTTAAACACAGTAAGGGGAAGTGCAGTGCACAAGAACCATAACTCTATCTAAAGTAATTACAGAGTTATTGCCCTTTGTTACTTTTCCATTGCTTTCTTTTGTCCGGACCATAACTTGAAGACTAATGGTTGGAATTCAATATAACTACACACAATGGTCAAGCACATTGAGAGGAAGTGCAGTGCACAAGAACCATAACTCTATCTTGACTAATTACAGAGTTACTGCCCTTTGTTACTTTTCCTTGTCCGGGGCATAACTTGAACACTACTGGTTGGAATTCAAAACAACTTCATACAATTGTCAAACACAATAAGGGGAAGTGCAGTGCACAAGAACCATAACTCTATCTAAAGTAATTACAGAGTTATTGCCCCTTTGTTACTTTTCCATTGCTTTCTTTTGTCCGGACCATAACTTGAAGACTAATGGTTGGAATTCAATATAACTACATACAATGGTCAAGCACATTGAGAGGAAGTGCAGTGCACAAGAACCATAACTCTATCTTGACTAATTACAGAGTTACTGCCCTTTGTTACTTTTCCTTGTCCGGGGCATAACTTGAACACTACTGGTTGGAATTCAAAACAACTTCATACAATTGTCAAACACAATAAGGGGAAGTGCAGTGCACAAGAACCATAACTCTATCTAAAGTAATTACAGAGTTATTGCCCTTTGTTACTTTTCCATTGCTTTCTTTTGTCCGGACCATAACTTGAAGACTAATGGTTGGAATTCAATATAACTACATACAATGGTCAAGCACATTGAGAGGAAGTGCAGTGCACAAGAACCATAACTCTATCTTGACTAATTACAGAGTTATTGCCTTTGTTACTTTTCCTTGTCCGGGGCATAACTTGAAAATTACTGGTTGGAATTCAAAACAACTACAATTGTCAAACACAGTAAGGGGAAGTGCAGTGCATAAGAACCATAACTCTATCTTGACTAATTACAGAGTTATTGCCCTTTGTTACTTTTCCATTGCTTTCTTTTGTCCGGAGTATAACTTGAAGACTAATTGTTGGAATTCATTATAACTTCATACAATGGTCAAGCACATTGAGAGGAAGTGCAGTGCACAAGAACCATAACTCCATCTTGACTAATTACAGAGTTATTGCCCTTTGTTACTTTTCCTTGTCCAGAGCATAACTTGAAAACTACTGTTTGGAATTCAATACAACTTCATACAGTTGTCAAGGACATTAAAAGGAAGTGCAGTGCATAAGAGCCATAACTCCATTTTGACAAAATACAGAGTTACTGCCCTTTGATACTTTTCCTTGTCTGGAGCATAACTTAAAACGTACTGGTTGAAATTCAAAACAAATTCATACAATGGTCAAGCACAAAAAGAGGAAGTGCAGTGCACAAGAACTATAACTCCATCTTCAGTATTTATAGAGTTATTGCCCTTTGTTCCTTTTCTTTGTCTTTCTGGACTTATTACAGAGTAATTCAATAAAACTTCATCAATGGCCAACCACATTGAAAAGAAATGCAATATACAAGAACCACAATTATCTTTAATTGCCCACAACCATAACTCTATATTTCAATTCTTTTACAAGATATTCTGTTACTAGTAACATCCTCATTTCCGAAGCAGTCTTGTGGGGGTATTAATCACATTTAGTGATAGTTCTAGTTTCTACAAATACTGTGAAGGTATATAATCCTTGCCTTATTTCTTAAATGGAATAGACCAGCTTCCAAATTTCTTTGAATTGTCGAATTTGTCGTCACCTCTGTGGGTTCGAAATCTGACAGGAACTATGGATTCTTTTATGTTAAGAAGGTATCCAGCTAGCTAACGAAATGTCAGTGGTTCTCCTCAGGTGTCCATTTGTGCCTGAAATAATGCATGGAAGGGAACTTGAGGTTTTTCCTCCACAAGTAAAACTGGAAAGTTGTCATATAACCTATACTGTGTAGATGCAACATAAAAGCCAACTTAAAACAAAAACAAAAAACTGTCCAATTATCATGATGAAAAAGATTTTAGTTAGCTAACAATACAGAGTCGGGTAAGATGGCACAGATGTGCATTCAGGTCTGGCTCCATACTGTGGCAAAGACTTAACATTTTTGGTTGTAGCAATATAAGGTTTAAATTCCTTTCTAACCAGGTTTTCTTACCAAAATAATTACTAATATTAGATAAGTGAATGTGACAGGGTGAAAACAGTTTTTGCCTTGCACAACTCCCACTTTTCTCAGGGTTTTTTACCAAACTTTTACATAATTTCTGTAATCAAGTGCCGAGGTACATATTCCCAATACTTTGTGGTAAAAATCATGGTCTTGTTTTTTTCCACATAATGTATATAACATTGTCAAATACCTGTTTTGTGATTTCTTCTGAAACTACGAGACAATCATCATTAAAACAATGAACAATATATTTATGTTTTACATTTTATTACAGAAGCAATAATCCACAAGTAAGCATTTAGTTGTGCATTCAATAAACCATGTTAAGCACAGCAATTTACATAAACAAACCATCTATAATCTTTTAGTATGATTGAATCCAAATTGTTTCTCTATTAAGGATAATGAAATGGAATATTGAAAGGTGAAATTCTCAAATGTAGAAATAAAATTTGAATAACATTAATATTAACTTGTGATTTCATTGTTAAATCTTTAGTGTTTATTGTTCTTATTATTAATTATTTATCTGTAAAAATATTCATTGATGTGTTATTGTGCATATTCATATATCTATAAATATTCATTAAAAGCGTTAACAATTGTTACCATGGTGATGTAAAAGACAAAACAAGTGAGTTAAATTCATTAGATTCTGACTTGAATCACTCTGATGTCAAATAAAGTTCATTATTAGTGATTGACACTATACTGTGAACTTTAGCCAGACTAATCAAATGTAATTAAATTATTCTTTAAAGATACTGGGGAATTAGTTATAACCGCCATATTTACTCACAGGTTTTTTTTCAAAAACAGTTTCTCTGGATCTGAAAATCGTAGACCAAGGTCAGCGGGCACATCCATGCTTTCTGATCTTGGTCTGCACTGTTGGCTTTTCATTCAGTAAAAATTTGAATTTTTTCCCAGAAATAAGGAATTGAAAGATGAACAAGTCCTTTAAAGATATATAGTGGGGTGAGTTAAATAGGTTGATTTTCTGTTGTTCTTAAATAATGAGCAGTAATTACTGATTGTGTTCGAATATTTCCTAATTTTTTAAGTAGAAAAATTCAGCTTAAAAATACATGTAACATGTTGATATGTTTTATTCCATTTATGTACTGTAAGCAGCTTAATGAAAAAGGCCTATTGAATGTTAATGATTACGTGAGTCTTACAACAAGTTATTTTTCAAGAGTAAAGCATTCATCTTATGATCATGGCATTGTTTCAAATATTTCTCACAGTTTCTTGAAGTTTGAATATTTTACATAACAATGGGTTATAAAATTTTATTTAATTACAAAATTGGTTCAATATGTTTATTATAATTATAACTGTTTTATTCAGTTTGAACTATGAAAGTTTTCTTCCAGGTTGTGAACAGTTTTTTCAACGATGTGAATATTGTTTTATTAGTAAATGAATAAATAATAGGATTTATCCAGTTTGAACATGATCCGAAATATATGAGCACTGTATGAATAAGCGGGTTGACCTTTGACATTGAAGGGTCATATAGATATAGAATCATGAATGGCATCCGGCATCCAGCAAAAACTGTTATCACCGCAAGAATTGTGAATGCCATTTTCAGTTCCGACAAAGTTCTTGATCTCTCACTGTCCGTTTTCACTATTGTTAAGTCATTTTTACTGGTCTTCACAGAAGATTTTTCACGACCAAGTCCAACTTTTCTCTGTGTTTTGATGTATTTATGAATTATACTGCCGTAACAAAACAGTATCACTGGAGCAGTACTTGAAATTGCTATTACGTAGATAAATAAACAAAAACCATTACAGTTGTAATCCGCAAATGGGTAACATATTAATTTTCTTGGCGCATACACAAAATTACCCCAGAGTCCTGTTAATGGGAATAAGAATAGTATGGGATAAAATAACCATGTAACTGCTAAAGTTCCAATGACGACTCTTTTATCCCCATAAATCCGAGCATATAAATGATGTTTTACTACACAAATGTAACGATTTATTGTTATACATGTATAACCCCAAAGTTCAGTGCCAAGATTTGAAAATAAACCGTAAGCGAATGCTATGCAACTCCATTTTCTGTAAGTCCAAATTCCGTGGAATGCCTGAATTGCCAACAGAGGGTGCAGTATCACACAATGTATTAGATTACATATACTTAAATTAAGGATGAATATAAATGATGACTTTTGATATAACTTTCCTTTTATAATAGCTAGAATTGTAAGAGTATTTCCCGCTGTTCCAAGAATTGAAGTGACGATGGTAAATGTTTTAATTATGACAAGTTGGTCATGTGACATTGCCGACTCAAGGCCCAATGTTGTGTTCTCTGCCATCTTTCTGGTCCGATAGTCTGTTACCAATCTTCTAGCAAATCATCTGGAAATAAAAAAAAGTTGGACATTAGTTTATTTTGTGTACATATGAATTATGTCTCCAAATAAAATGAGAATTTTCATTTCATTTAAATTTTCTCACTTAGTGTTGTAAGTTGCTTAAATAAGGTATTGCAAAAATAACTGAAGTCACTGTGAAAGTGATGTTCATTCCATACCAGTAAAAAAGGGGGAAATTACAAGATTAGTGTTTTAAAACAAACTTTACTGTAAAAATTCAAGTATTTCATTTATGAACATAAAATAATATCATATGAATGATAAGTATAGATTCCATGCGCTCAAAGAATAGCAATAATGATTGAAAAAAACTTGTTCATCAGCAGTTAAAAATTTGTTTTTCATTTAACTTCACATGTTTACTGTAATACAGTACCAAATAAACATATTCTTTCACCAGAAGTCAAAATTTATCTTGCTGCTATAACATAAACTGCTTACTAGTCAATATACATATATGTAATGTTTCAAATGGTGAATTTTTATATCTATATTAATGTGGTATTGCACAATAAATCTTCCTAAAATTATGAGTTTTTGTATTATCATTTGATGACCTCTCTTGATTGTTTTGCCCAATTTATAACTTTAATAGAAATAAGTCAAAGTTTGTAAAATTTGGAAGGGACCTTGCCCATAGCCAGTAAATGGCTTCTATTTATTTTGTGGACATTAGATCAAAGGTCAAGGTCACAGTGACATGTTGTGAAATCATTGACTTTAGAAGTAGTATGCCTAGTTTACTTAAATCCTGACAAATAAGAAAAGTTTATGTTTTCTGATTGAAATTGAATCAGATTCTTTTAATTATTTCATAATTTGCAGACTCAATATTATTTTATATCATTTTGCTGAGACAACAAATATAGTTTCGTCTAAACAGAGTTTAATGTTACCATGATAATTTTATTGCTTTACATGGTTGAGAAAAATCAACATCAATTATTTTGTTACATTGAGTAGTATTGATACAATGGTTATAGGGCAGAGCAGAAAAATCTCTGTTGTATTTTTATCTTAAATTGGATACAATAATAAAGAGAATTCATAATATATAGTAACCATAGAGACAAAGTACAACATATCCAAAGGCAAACAAAACCCAGTAATGAGAATTCATACTCTTATTATTAAGCTAGTCTAGATATTTTATATTTGCTTCTGTTTTTACTTTGACTTTTTCATGTTTTGCTATCATGCCCCTAAGCAGTGGTTTTGTGATTCCATTATTTGATATACACATTGTAAATATAATTGCAATAACAAAATTAAAAGGCTGCTGGGCATTTTATTGTGGAAAAATGTGGAACTTTTATTATGTTTTTAATATTTTTAGTGTAGAATTGACATTATACAAAGATAGACTTTTGCAATAGTACTCCTTCATTTATTGGTTTTATGAATTTTGTTAAGATATTTAAACATCATATTTTTTGTAACTGAGTCGCTAAAACCATAGAGTTGACTCAAACAGCATGTATAATGACCTGGCTTTTTTATAGGCACTGAAAGTTTGTTTAATCAGCTACTGATTACTAAAAATCAGACATTTTATTTTGGTAGTACTCTGTAGATATGTCTTTTCTTATAATGCAGGTTTCCTAATTTTTCAATTATTTTATATACCAGCTAGTTTTTCCAATATGTTTGTCAGCAAAATAAAAAGGTCAAGGCCATTTATTATTTGTCATTTGGCAGAAGAAATGTAAGATCATAGATACACAGATAGCAGTGTATTTATTTATCTCATATTACATGCTAATCTGCTAATGCTGTTGACAATATACATTATACATCCAGTGCTGTCCGTAAAAATAGAGAAAATGAAAAGGAATCTCTAAGGAAATCCCAAAACAACAAAACTGAAAATGTTACAGGCTCGAAACTGAAAATGGTGCAGGCTCAGTTTTATTGAGGCGCTGCATCAAGCTGACTTATGCAAGATTTTATTTATTAAAATAGAGAAAAAAAGGAATCTCTAAAGAAATCCCAAAACAAGGAAACTGAAAATGGTGCAGGCTCGGTTTTATTGAGGCGCAGCATCAAGCAATATCTCTGACTAATGCAAGATTTTATTGCTGGCTACATTTGGGATAGAAATGCATTAACCTTATGTCACCATATGTTATTATCCCCTTTGTCATTTTTTTCTACTCATACTGTTTTTGAAAATATATAGATCTAGTATAGCTGTAGAATATTCTAGGCTCTGATGGGAGGACGAGGATCTTTTTTAGTCCCTCATCTTTTGACAAATTTTTATCAACTACTACATGCAAATCTTCATTAGGATGATACACAGTTTTTGTCTGTTATTATATTTCTTTAAATGATATTAACAGAAGAACAGAAAAGCATATGATAATGACCCTCTCGGCATTTTCCTACAGCCATTGAAATAATCATAAGATCTCCCTTTTGTTTTTCCATTTGAAAAAGGGATTTTACATTGTTACCTGATTAGAAAGACCACTTGCTAACACATGCCATTTTGCCATTTACTAAAACTAGTCTTTATGTACAAGTATAATAACCAAATGATATACATTGTAATATATTCATACAGTCTCCTGCAGGTGCCCTTAGAACTGCTGTTAATTAACTTAATTGATTGAAACATGAGAAAATTCATACAGATTTGTTTACAGTCTGCTTGATTTATTACAGAGTGTGTTTGATTTATTACTTGGTGTGTTTGATTAATTGGTTATTACAAACTGACAGCTGGAAGAAACATAGATATCTATATTAGAAAGCATTGTTTAATGATCTCACCAGAATGTTCTTGCATGGAACATAAAAAAGATGAATAATTATTTTCGTTATTTTGTTGTATTTTTACTGCATTTTTAAGACTGAATATTTTTTTATTTTGTCTAGTGTTATGTAAGAGAAAAAAAAATCTTCCCATTTACCTTCCTCTGTACTTGAGATGGGAAACCTTGGTGCAAATTTTATGTAAGTTTTACCTTGTGTTATATATATGTGTGTATAAGTATGTATTCTAAGACTTAATGTTATTCAAGAATACACACACACATGTTGCAATTAATATAAAAAAGAAAAATCCCATCATACTAAAATACTTTAAATTTGACATAATAGAAATCTATAAAGAATTCATTTAAAACAGAAATATGAAAATGATCAGAACAGAACATGGTTAAATTTTTTATAATAATGCAAAAAGTACAATTTTTATTAAATTGTATAAAAGATTTAAGTTTATCCCATTTTATCTGAAATTCTATTTTTGTCTTAAAATTTATATCAATCTACAAAACGTCCTGTTGTACTGTTGAGTTTAAATTCAAGTTATCCTAGCAAAAATTTACTATAAGCATTAATTTTGAATTTTAAGAATAAAGGAATAAATCTTAGGCTAAGTAATAAAACAGATGTGACAATAATTGTGTCACATGTGAAATGATACATTCCACATTTCTACTTACCAGTCTATTTAACATTTAAATAAACATTTTAATTCCATGTAAATGAAAAAAAACATAAGAGTTAAGAAATGTAGTTTTAAAGCTTCAGTAACTTTTACATAGCAAAATAACCTCTTAAAGATTTAACAAAGAAGACTGTTTTGACATGTCGTGAGCAAGAGTGGCAAATTTAGATTTATCATATGTTTTGAACATGTGTAAGAAATAGATTAAACCAGGTGTATGAAAACAGACATAACATTTCAGAAAAATGGAGTTGACAGGAGACTTGAAATTTAAATTTCGACAGATGTTTTCACAAACAAAACATCGATTTATCTTATGTTTTTGACTTATGATAAAAAATTGTTGTTAGATTTTTTATGTGAAATTGTCTGTTGGATGAAGTGTGATCCCTTGTAATCACAACAAAAATACATGTACATTGCAGACTTGGTTTGATTATGTCTGTACATAAGGAATAATGAAAAAAGTTCAGCATCCCTCACGCCCCTAGCACCTACTTGAGCTATACACAATGTTCAACACTTAAAAGTGCTGGAATCAATTATCCCGAATGACCAGAAAAATATAAAATCTTTTAAGTAAAATACGTGGCTACCATACTCTAATGTTATATGTGACCAATGTCTGTGAAAGTTGTAACAAATTGTAAAAAATAAAATGTTAACATTTGCGAAAATGACAAATTTGAAAATGTTACAGAGCCTGTTCATGGAACAAACGTCACCAGTAAAGTCAGGCAAGTCTGCATATCTATACATTTTAACCACAGACTGCACCGTTGATACTGATACTGAAATTTGTAACTCACATTCAGATCAGATGCAAGGGTTGTTCAAAAAGTAATAGGATTTCACTAAGAGGGTTGCATCTTCATATTCCACTCAATTTGGAATATTTTCATATGTATTGTGATAGATAGTGATGGTGAAGTGTTTTCTACAATTTGATCATAATTTATCTTATCGGGTAAAGTATTGTACTAAATGTGTGTTTTCTGTGATATTTAATATCCATTAATCAAATTCAGTAGATTCATCAGATATAGAGTTTGTTTTCAATAAAATTAAAAATACATTGATAAATGCCTTAAAATGACAATGGAATTCTTTTTGATTTACATCAAACTTTATCAGGGTGATTTTAATAAGTTTTTGCATACTTTTTATCCCAAAGGTGGGTGATTAAGAAAAAAAGTATGAAACTCAATGATAGTGTACCTTTAAAAATTATTTTATCTTCACTGCCTACATCTTTTATTACTTAATACTGATATTTTTAACTGATATTGCTGATACTAAAAAATAAAATGATCATCATTGTCAAACCTCCAGTAATACGTGTATGATACCTTAGGTTTGTGAAAGTATTTACATCAACAAAATAAAGTCTGTCTTGTTTAGACTGAATGAGAGAAAACAGTTCTTCATTATAAACAGTGATGGTGTATAGAAATATACACAAATAAAGCTGGGTATATAATAATAATATTGTAGATTTCCTTCAAGAATAGCTTAACAAAAATAAA